GGGCGCTCGAGGACCGCTGAGCTCTGTGATCTCCTGAAGCACATATTTACATTTTATTTTTTTATATTTTTGTCAGCAGCATTTTTACAAGGCATTGCACATGAGAGAACATTTTAATCAAATATAATAGAATTTAAAATTAAAATGAGCAGATCCGAAAACAAATATATCATCTGTATAAATATAAATATTTTAAATAAATATCTGTCTGGCTCCAGACTGCAGAGCCCGGGCAGTGGACAGGGCAGGGGAACTCTCCTGAGCAGGAGCCAAGTGAGAGGTCTGACCAGGAAGGACAGGATTAACTCATTTATAGGTCATTCCTATCTAATAGTAAATATATATAAAGATATGCAAGCATTTGATTAGATTTGATATATTTACAGTAAAAAGTGCTTTTTGTTAACTATTTTACTTCCAAAAAAGTCCAACAACTAGAGGAGCACATTTGACATAACTTAAATCTTTTTTTAATTTTGTATAACATAATGGCCAGTGAACAATCTTTGGCTGCACTAGTTAGCTGTTGGGGGCATATTCTGCTCTTATTCCGGTTCATATTTGTATTTAGAGTCTCTACTGTGACATGTCTCCATGCTTTAATGTTCAAAAAGCTCTTTATTTTTCTTATACTGCCTGTGCTGCAGCATTTCTTTTCACCCTCTGTCTGAAACCAGAGCCCAGTCTGCTCTGATTGGTTAGCTGGCCGGCTCTCTTGTGATTGGTCAACCACTATCACGTACAATGTGTTGGAGCGCTAGCCAATGGTGTGAGTATCACATAGTGATGTCGCTATATGTTACAGAAGTAAACAAAGGAGTCCAATGGGGGGGGGGGGAGTGTGTGGGAGAGAAACTCCCTGGAGGGAACACAGGGATTTTAGCCTTTGCAGACCATTTACATGCACAAAAACCTATAGAACACACTACAGGAAAGGGAAAACCCCAAAAAGCATAACAGGTATAATGGATTTGAATATGATACTTAATTACTGCTTAACATGTGTGTAAAGTGTTTATATTTAGCGTCTTTGAGTTTCCTGAAAAGCGGTATACAAGTCTCATGTATTATTATTATTATTATATTTCAAAGCTGGAATGTAGTCGTTTGCTAACCTGGCTCCTAAATGGTGGAATGAGCTCCCCATTGACATCAGGACAGCAGAATCTCGGCATATCTTACGTCGCAAACTGAAAACGCATCTATGTCAACTGTACCGTGGCAAATAAAAGTAATTTTTTAGTGAATTTAGGCCTTGTAGCTGATTCACCAGCACTTACTTAGGGCCTTATTGTGCTCAGGCGCTGCTTCAAACACTTCTCTGAGCAGGCTTTCCTACACGATCTGGCGGAGGTTAAATGGCACTTCACAGCGTTAATTCCATCTGTTGATGTTGCCGTCCAATTTTTTATTGATCACTTTTTATCGAATATTAATAGACATGCCCCCCTTAGAAAATTCAGAGTTAAGAATAGGAACACTCCATGGTTTACTAGAGAACTATCTGATCTCATTCATGATCGAAATAAGCAATGGTCCTTAGCTAGAAAGTGATGACTGGCTTCTTTTTCGTGTCCTCAGAAATAAATGTTCTGCCCTTATTAAAAAAGCTAAAGCTGATTACTATCTGAGCTTAACCACTGATTGTTTTAATGACCATTCTAAATTCTGGAAAACAATTAAATCACTTCAGAACAAGAAGGTTTCTAGTTTCCCACAAAAACTGAAGGTCAGTGATTCTTTTATTTCAGATTCAGATGGTATGTCTAATGCCTTTAATGCTCAGTTCAAAAAGGCTGGTCACATTTTTGATGAGCAAAGTCATGACTCTCTAAATGGTCGTACTCACAGCCATAGTCAAGAGATGAACTCCCCTGTTTTTGATTTCGCTTATTTCTCGGTCTCTGAAGTCTTACAGGGTTTGCACTCGATTGATCCTAAAAAGTCTGCCGGGCCTGACGGCCTCGACCCGTTCTTTTTAAAAATTGCAGCTCAGATTATAGCACAACCAGTAACTGATCATTTTAATCTCTCCCTGTCCACTCACACACTGCCAGCTGTGTGGAAGCAAGCTCTGGTATCGCCCCTCTTGAAAGCTGGTGATCCCACGGAGTTGAATAACTATCGTCCTATCTCAAATCTTTCTGTGTTATCAAAGATTCTTGAGTCCCTTGTTTCTACTAAGCTAAAACTTTTTTTAAATTCACACAACATCCTTAACCCTATGCAATCTGGATTCAGATCAAAGCACAGTACTGTGACTGCCAGTCTGAAAGTCTTAGACGATATTAAGGCTGCTTTGGATAAGAAATCGGTTTGTGTTGCATTGTTTATTGACCTAGCCAAAGCATTTGACACTGTAGATCACCACATTATGTCTAATGTTATGTTGGTGTCTCGTTTCGGTCATAATGCCATTTGCTGGTCCATCAGAGTTATCTAACCGACCGTACTCAATGCGTCAGGTTGGGTAGTACTGTCTCTGACCCTGTCACCTTGGAGAAGGGAGTTCCACAGGGCTCTATTTTGGGGCCCTTGCTCTTTTTATTATATGTAAACAATATTTGTAATCAGATGCAATTTTCTACCTATCATATGTATGCTGATGACACTATTGTATACTCGTGTGCTCCTTCTCTGGATATGGCCATTTCCAATTTAAAATCTGATTTTATCACGCTGCAGCATGCACTTATTGATTCCAAACTGCTATTGAACAGTAAGAAAACCAAAGCAATGCTTTTTGCTCCCAAGTCAGCGTCCTCCTCTTGCCTCTCCATTGACACCCTTGATGGCGTTTCTGTTGAGTTTGTTGATACCTACAAATATCTGGGCTTTTGGTTGGACAGTAATCTGAACTTTAAAACACCATATTGAAGTTTTAACAAAGAAATTGAAATTCACTCTTGGCTTCCTTTACAGACTTAAATGTTGTTTTTCAATTTCATCCCGTAAAAGGTTGGTCTCTGGCTTATTCCTGTCCCAGCTGGACTACGGTGATACCATTTATAGATTTGCCTGTCCCACTGTTTTGGCCAAACTTGACCCACTTTACCATGCTGCACTGCGTTATATATCAAATGCACCCTATAGGACTCATCATTGCACACTGTATAGCCTAACTGGATGGTCCTCACTTACTATGCGTAGGATGCAGCACTGGTTTTTATTAATGTATAAAGCCATTTTAGGTAAGCTTCCACTCTACATATGTGTCAGATTTGCCCCAGTGTGTGACTCTTACAACCTCAGATCCAGTGCCTGGATACGGTTCCAGGTACCTACTGTACGGACTGAGGCTGGAAAAAGGAGTCTTTCTTATTATGGTCCTTGGTCTTGGAATGACCTTCAATCACGCCTTAAACTGAGGGCACTTGTCTCTATATCATGTTTTAAATTGAAGTTGTCTGAAGTCCTCACCACCAGCTGCTCTTGCAGTAATAAGTAGTATACTTTTCTTACTGTCCTAATGTGCACAATGTAGTGACTGCTTTTTCGTCTTTTGTTTCCTTAGTTATGTTCTCTTTATTTTATATGTTTGTGTTGTGTTATGTGTAACGTTGCTGCCTTCTTGGCCAGGTCAGCATTGAAAATGAGATTTTATCTCAATGTTTTTATCTGGTTAAATAAAGGTTAAATACATTTAAAAAAAAAAAGAATTACGATCTTGCTTGAAGTGAATATATCTGCACTTTCCTTGTTGTTCGGAGTTTGAATCTTTATGGTTCTTGCACCAATTGTAAGTCGCTTTGGATAAAAGCGTCAGCTAAATTATATGTTATGAGTTGATATATAAAGTCTCTTGCCTGTGAACATCCATCGGTGAGCCTCCAGTCCAAATTTGGAAACATTCTGTTCATTTTTTCCAGAAACAGATGAAAAAAGGCAGACTAGATACTTTTAGGTCTGCTGCTCTAACATCAGCAGTTTGTTGATACCATGAAGGCTGTTATACCTGGAAACATGTTTGTAGGTCACTGTTTTACTTGTTTTATTTTAATATATATTTACTGTAGTACAGCTAAATAAACACTCCAATTCAACAAAGGTGGTTACAGGATTTATTTCAAATTGTACACAATGTGAAGGACACATGTATTTGTAGCTTAAACATTTTAAAAAGCACTCATTAAAACATCTTCAGAGTAAAAATGCACCAGGAGACAGCAGAAAGAACGTTTCATTGTGTTTTATACATCATTTAACTTTTTAGACAGAAGCATCAAATATCTAATAAGTGTCAATCAATGGAGTCTTTAAGGGTACAAACCTTTTAAATACACAAAGGCATAATGGAGATTTCAATATGGAAAGTCATGTATTACAGTTTAGCATAACCCTAAATACGACCCGAAAGAGTAAACAAATGAAAATGTAAAGATAAAATAACATTTGCCTGATTACACTTCATTAATAATTATTGTATGTACAAATCCCACCAAGAATACAAATCTTTTATGAACTGGTTACATGTTAATTACCAAATAATCTGTGTCAAAAGTACGATGAAAAGCATCTTTCAACACTTTCATGACCATTTTTCTAAAATGTGCACACTCAATAAAACCATAATATGTTTTGCTCAGCAGAGTATTAAAAGCATAAAAGCAGTTTTTGGCTCTAAATATTTCCTGCAAATCACCAACAAAAACATTGTGTACTAATTTTCTATCCAGGGTAAAAGCATTATATACTTCTTTAATCCAACTTTGGTTTGCCCAGCTTTTGAGTACACGTAATATATATCTTCCTGGGACCCGAGGGAAAAAAGTGTCTTCCAATTTCTTTTTTTTTGTGATTTCCTACCTATTTAGGGTTAAAAAAAACATCTTGCAATTTAGACTTTTTTAATTTAATTTAATTTTTAAATGTTACAGTATGTCCACTGTAGAGGACGTCGGGACCATTTTAGTTTGAAAAGACAGCCAAAATTAACAGATAGACTATGTAACGTATTATGGTTATAGAGTGATATTAATAAAATAATACATTCACCTTTATTTAAAACATAAATAAGTAATTGATCTGAACATTGCTGTTTATTTGGTCACTGAAAAACTAGTTTGGTTTTTGGTGAATCTTTCCAGACTTTGTAGTCGATGTAGTGGGAAAAGTACCTAATTGACTCCAGTCGGCTGTAGGGTCATCTCGACTAGTTTTATGGATGTGGTCTCCATTTGACCATGCTCATAGAAACAAAGCTTGCATTCCTGAGGCAATTCTCATTTTTCATGGCTCCACTTAAAATAAAAACAACAATAACACATACGTGCTACTCTTGGCCCACAGAGGGCCATGTCTTTCCAGCTCGTCCCTAGCTGTCTCTCTGTCTGTATCTGTGCGCTCATGGAGCCTCCTGCATCTTTCCCCCCCTTCTTCTTGACCCTCTTCTATCCCAGGTGTGAAAGCCTCATCTCTCTCATCATCTGAGAGCTCAAAATCTGAATCTCCCTTAACTATCTGGTACAGAAAATGTCTGCTTCAGTTCCGTCTCCTGCAACAATATTGAGTCATTAAGTCCATGAAGATGGTCCTGACGTCCACTAGGATGGACATTTATAAAAGAGCTGTTATTTGAAAACTTGAATTATTTAATTGCTTTCAGAACTAATTATATAGTTCCTCACATGTTAATAAACAAGAACATATATGATTTTCATGGTAAAAATTACAATTATTCAACAATATTTGACTTCTCCTGCTTCTATACAATTTTGTTTTTGGTATGCCAGCCATTTTGGATGAAAAGAAAGAGGAACTTCCCAGCATGCAATTTTAACCAATAACATATCACTGGAAAGACCAGGATGTCCTCTGTACAGTGCATCAGGGACTGATAGATGTCCTCTGTACAGTACATCAGGGATTGATAGAGTAGCTCAAATGGGCTGGGTCCCAGGAGGATATACTGAATTAAAAACATCTTTATAGTCCTGGAGAATTTAAAACAGCCTTAAGTTATTTATCATCTTATTTGAATTGTTGTCAAAGTGGTTTTCTTCCGAGTGCTAATAAGAGCCGATTGAGTTGAACAACAATATTTGATCATTATTCATCCGAGATACTTCCCACCGACCCTAGTAGGCTGGATTGGGGGCTGGGGGTGTCACCAGCTGCAGGGATGAACAGAAGTCATATTTAAAACAACTAAAGCAACTAAAAACATAGAAGCTCAATGCAGCTTTAAATCATTGGATGAAGATACTTACGGGAGACGCCAGAGTCCCTGTCAGATTGGTCTGAGCCTGTGGAGAAAAGAAAATCTTTATATGCAGAATGGGTGGAGCGTTCGAGGCAGGGTCTGACTCTCGAGAGCAGAATATACCGGGGTCTTCTGCATCCATTGGGGAAATAACGGCTATAAAAGTGTTGTCCAAGGAAATGTATTTACAACAAAGTTTTCTTTGCCCGAAATGACGTCACAGACTCACAGAAACGTTGTAGTACCACCGTTTGGCCACTACAACATTTTCCCCAGCTCATTTCCTGGGGGCTTGGTCCTAACTCATCATATCCTAACTGTGCTGTCTGGACTGTGATCTATTTATTCAATGAACAAAATGTGACAGAATGTGAGGTCAAACTTAAGAGTCCAGTCGAGTTCTGGTTGTCTCGTCTGGGTGGAAGCTTATAATGAACCCGCATTTAGCATTATGACATGTTCTGGCAATCTACAAATCATCAACCTGTGCTGATGGCATCACACTGATTGCAATGTCACAGTTGTTATGACTCACCGAGCTATGTCTAACTTATTGCCTTAATAATAACTACAACTGCCCTTTCATTGGGCCTATTTAAATCATTAGGGTCTAAAAAAAAAAAGAATTCTCTAAAAGCTGTTATTTTCCCTCTCCATTCATTTGACTCAGATGAGAGCTCGGAGGCGGGTTTAAGGAAAACTCAACATTCGATACACCGGTCCAGTATTTAGCTTAATATTAAACCAGGTTGAAAATGTTTACTATGTAACCACCCTTGTTTACAAATCAGGAGCTGTGAGTAAGTGTAGGATCCCCCTTTCCCTGTTAAAAAGAATAGTAGATGTTCAGTTTCACTTGATTCTTTTCTTATGATACTTCAGCACCTTATGTGGTCATCCCCTGCTTGATTTAACACATCTACGGTATATACAATCGCCCTACCTCACACAAAAAATCTAACTATATATTTGAATGTAATGTAGTTTAATGCAAACATCACGTCTTTTCACATCTTTTAAGAAAACGAAAACAAACTTACCCTTCTTAAGAGCTTTAAATGCCTCAATGTCATTGTCGCACACACATTATAGACATTGTCTTATTTTTTTACATTTGTATGACTGTTTTCAGGCCTATCAACACCAAAAACATAAAAATAATTTCTTTAAAACCACTATCTTAACTACATATTATGCTTTTTAATACCATACTACTCTATAATAAACCTTTTAACTGTATTTGCAAAGTGACCAGAGGATTCTCTTCTCATCCAGCCAATAATATCATTTATATAATTATCTTTAATGTTTTAGTACAATCGTATAAAATCCATAAGCACTTACCTTTGGTAGAAACAGTCTTAAGTGTCTCGCCTGTTAACAAAGACAAAGTTAAAACACACACATGAAGACACACACATGAAGACACACACAACCAGATTTGAATGAGTGGACAGAGACACTGACCTGAGCCATCACTCCTGCTGTCGCTGCTGTGGCTTCCCCCTGCAAAAAGAAGACATTTTAAAATCTGCTGCTACCTGAATGTTTTGATTTAAACAGAAAATAAATGAGTTGCCTTTGCTCTTATTTCCACTTGTGCACGCTCCTGTAAATAAAGACAATGTTAACACATAGTAATGATAATGGATAAAGTCAACATCACTGAGACAAATGTAAAATGTGTGATGTTGGGCTATATAAATAAACTTTGATTAACCGAATATAAATAAGGGCTACAACTAAAAGACATTTTTTTTAATCAATAAATCTTTTGATAATTTTTTCAGTTCATCGTTGGGTCAGTAAAATGTCATAAAAAAAGTAACAAAATGACCATCTCAGTGTCTCAAAAAGGCATAAGAAAAGCAGGAAATGTACATATTTGAGGCTGAAAGCAGCATTTACGGAGAATGTCTTTCTTTCTCTTGCATGAAATATTAAGTTTCATTATCATAGGATCGTGCAAATAAAGATTGATATGAAGCAGAACGATGGATATTTTAAACGGAGCCCTACAGAAGCTCCCTGTGAGGGAGAAACTTCAGATCTGATGAGAGCTGAGCGGCTGTGAGCAGGGTCAACTGACTGTGCAGTGGATTAAGGTTTACAGTTATTCCAGATAATGATCGACAGGACTGCTATTCAATGTGACTACTGATCCCCTTTTGAAGAACATCATAAAATAATAACAGACCTTTGCACTTTATAACGATCTCACAAAACACATCCTTGCTCATGGCTGACAAGACTGTAAAACCAATGCTTTGTCTAAGTCCAGATACTGCCCTTGGTACACTGCATGTCGTACTAGCAACGATAGCTAGCAACGATAGCTAACAACGATAGCTACAGACGATTGTTTGCGGTAACACGAGGCCCTGTTTACTAAAGAAACCATAATCCTGGGTTGTTGCGTAACTTCCGTGATGCAGCTAAGATGGCTATCGTTGAGTGAGAATCGTCCAGCATTGGACGACAAGGGGGTGGTTTTATGGTGCTTCTATGTCCGCCCATCAGCATCCATATTCGGCCTTCTTCATTACACCAGCCCCCCCTCTGTGGAGGGTATTCTCGTGCCCCTGGTGGTCTTACAAGGGGGTGGTTTTATGGTGCTTCTATGTCCGCCCATCAGCATCCATATTCGGCCTTCTTCATTACACCAGCCCCCCTTCTGTGGAGGGTATTCTCGTGCCCCTGGTGGACTTACAAGGGGGTGGTTTTATGGTGCTTCTATGTCCGCCCATCAGCATCCATATTCGGCCTTCTTCATTACACCAGCCCCCCTTCTGTGGAGGGTATTCTCGTGCCCCTGGTCGTGTTAATGCTGCCTGGTCCTCAGCATCCAGATTCTGCCTTATTATTGGCACCACCACCACCAGCCCCCCTTCTGGGCTGGAGGTTCAAACACTTTGACTCTAGTTTTTTTTCTCTCATCTCTGATGAGAGCAATCATTGTGCAATGCCCTCAAAACAGCACATGTAATATGCTAGAAAGATTAAACCTAAATATTAGAATTAAGTTTTTGTTCAATAAACACTCACTCGAATTACATGTTGTATTTTCTTCTACAGAAAATAAATATTCCATCCAAAGGTATCTTGTTGTTGAAGGAAGACAGTTGCTAGATATTACACTTACCGAGCTTTCCTTTTTTGAAGAGAATCAGGAGCACCGCCAACAGGACCAGGACCAGGAGCACCACCACCACCCCTACCACTACGCCAATGATGGATCCTGAATCGCTAGGAAGTTTATGATCTAAAAAATAAAAGAATACACTAGTTTTACATTTTCACAATCATTCCTATTCCTTATATAAAATGTAATAATCTTTCTGTTGATATTAGGCAATCGAGTGTGGTTAGTAACGTTCGCTTGTAAGGTGTTTCTAGGTCTCCCTCACTCATTTGACTCAAAGGTTATTCCGGTCGTAGTCGATTAAGAATGAATCATTTTTGTATGCTTTGTCCTGCTGAATGACTTTAATCTAAGAAACTTCTTAGCACATCCCTATTAAAAACAAGATTGGGTGCTTTTGCATTTGATCTTCCTCGAGATAATCAGATCTGTCAAATCAATTAGTCAACCATTATTAGTATTTTTAGTTGAGAATAACCTCACTAATTTCAATCATTTGTTCCTTGCCACCCTCAGCAATTAACATGTAAACAGCAAGAAATGCTAAAAAAGAAAAAGGCAAGAAAAAGTTTCCTACCCCATTCCTTCTCAACATGCACTCCTGACGCAACATGCTCCACTTCACAGGTGTAGGTGGACATGTCAGTCCTCAGAATCTCCACTCGGTCGGTTCTCTGGTAGGTCTCGTCTCCGTTTGGTCGAGTGCCTGTTGAAAACACTCCGTCCTCTTTGGTTAGAATACGGCCGTTCCGTTTGATCTGCAGCAAGATGTCTTTCGGGTAGAAACCGGTGGCCATGCACGACAGGATGATGTTCTTCTCCGACTTGGCATTCTTTGAAAACACGTGCACCTTTGGAGGAGCTGGAAAAAGAAACCATAACATCAGATCATATTTGCAGGCTTTTCATTTTTAACCAGTCCAAATAATTATTTAAGGTATTTTCCCAAACAGTTTTTGTTCTAATAGCAGGCCTATTGTATTTAGTTCTAGGTTGGAAAATGGGATCTGGGAAAAATCTTTGTCTTAAAAAATGCTAGTATTCTTAATTTGTTGATGTGATAGGCGAAAACTTCAGAATAGTTTTTTACCACCAGTCAAATGATGGCGAATGTTTTTACCTAAATAAGGGTTTATAATATAGATGTTTGCTTTCATCTATAATGATGGCAATTTGATGATAGTGTAGTGCCAGCCAAATGTTGCTTAAAGTAGGCATACGTATTATTCTGGGATTAGTCAACCCTCAGCTGAATTTGTAGAAACCCCATTGTTTTTAAGGCTAGTCAGTTTAACAATTTGCATAGAGATCCTTATGTTACAAAAGCTATTTCTAATATCTAGAAAAAAAATAAAAATAATGAGGTCATACATACTGGCGTCAATTTTTTTTCCAAACTCCACAAACTTGCTCAACCAGTCCATGCACTCAGTCTCCAGGTAGCCTTTGGTGTATTCTTTCAGAACCTGGACGTCATCCCACTTCCTCTTAGTCGGCAGTGACGCGTCGGTTGCGGCCACCCAGGTGGAGTGGTCGTCGTCGAAGGACAGGAAGTCGGTCCCGTCGTAGCTGTACATGTCCGTCCCATGGCGGTACTGAAGCTTACCGTCAGGCTGCATTTCGCCCTGACAGCCGTGCATCCACTGCAGAATGTGGACGTCTGTAACGAGAGCGAGGGGCGGGACAGTGAGACAAGAGCCTAATAACAAGAATATGGTTTAATATACTCTATTTCCTTTACTTTTACGCATTTACCAAGATCAAAAAGTCTGCCAGTAAACTATTTTAAATTTGATTCAATTCATGCTCCTGCTATCAATATGAGACAATGTCATATGGCAATCTATGTCAACTAACAATGGAATAATTCAAAACTGAACTGTGCTCTGAAAAAAACATGTTCTTTATAATTAAAATACACCTCCTGTTGTTGGAGGACAAGTTGCTAGTCAAAGCAGCGTGTCACTAAAATAAGAACAACTGGTCCCCCTTACATAGGCAACCCACCTTAAGTTAGCATGTTGTTGTTGCTAACTCTTCACTTAAAGCAGGAAAAGACAAGCAAGACACTGGCAATCACTTTGATAATAAAAAAAATGTGTTTAAATGGCTAGAATTAATTGGTTGTATTCTACAAATGTTCTTTTCAAATGTCTCACTTGCCAATTACCCAAGCAACAATTGCTAAAAAAGCTAGCAATGTTTAGGAAGGAGGTGCACTTTGATGGAAATGGTAAAACATTTGTGCCATGGTACCTTCAATAGAAAGGGGAATCCGAAAGTTGATGTTATTTTTCGAGCTTTCACTTTGCATGGATGATGTTATTATAAATAAGCATCTTGGCTCCTGCATGGATCTTACCGGTGTCATTCTGTCTCATTCGTTTCATCAGGATGTCGATGTTGACTTTGAACCACTGCTGCTTGCTCTGGCGGGACTGCGTGCCTTTCTCCCAGTATTCTACCGGCATCTGCTCCTTCATAAAGTCCTGTTTGGGAACTTTCTTTTGATCATCGCTGTCAAAGTAGTCGATCATCTTGTTGTCCAGCAGCCCCATGGCGGTGAACTCATGGAGGCCCGGGAGTTCCACAGGTTTGGAGAAGGCTGTGTAGATGTAGGTGAGGGAATGTAACGCTGAGGGTCACACAGGGGGAAAGACAGACATATGTTTATTAGACAATGCAGATATAGGTATGTAGATTTGACTCTTAGGTTTCAAATGGGCTTCATCCATCCAATTACACTGTTACAAGTGAGTATTTTGACCATATCATCATTTGTATGCATATTTTTACACTCCAAGTTGTATAAACTTGAATGCGTAATGGATTTCAGCATATAAGAATTCATATTATATGTTCCTTATAATTGTGCACAGTTGTAGTTAGACAAACAGCAACTCCTTGTAAATGAGATTCTGGAACCAAAGGAGGTTGACGTGTTTTGGCTTGAGAAAAATGACCTCCACAATTATTCAATTCTGTTCATAAACGTATCAACTATTTTTTATAAATTGTGAAATGTGTGTTGTATAATGTGAAGGCAAGTGCAGTAAATAGAACTGAGTTGTATGGTTTCCTGTGATACTTCCGGGAAACAAACCACATAAAAAAACTGAGAAAAAGCTTTTGACAGTTGTCAGTGTTGCCATAAATGTCTTTTAAGAATTGCATTACAGAAATGCCAAAGATACATATGTTACGTCGTATCTATGTATGAAGAAGAAGAATATAAGTATCAAATATCTTAACCGACCTCAAGCTCTACTAGAAAGAATGAGGAAATCAAACAAAAAGATGCCAACCTTCATAGACAAACTTCTGTATGACCCAAATCAGGCTGCGCCCATCATGTCAAGAGATATTTTAACAATGCTGTCTGTTCACCTCAGTGACAACAAACATAAGGGTGGTGTTCAGAAATCAAACCAAAGTCCCTAAAGAGCAATAAACAACCCGTCACTGATTATGACTGTAGATTACATCAGTTGTAAAGATCTAGATCCAATCATACGACAGATTTACAATGATTTAAGGAAAGAGAATAATAATTCCTCTTATCTCACTAATACTAATGGTAGACCTGCTGTATCACCAGATGTTTTTCCTGAATATACTTGTCTTACTTTTACCTTATATGTATAATTTAGTTTACAACAATATGCCCATTAGGTTAAATCTTTCAATCCTTATAGATTTTTTAGTACAAACATTCTCATGGATATCATTGGGATATCAAGATGGCACGTGAGGTAAAACATATAGTTTAGGTTTGTTCACTTGCTTAACTAAACCAACTTTTTACATGTTTTACTCGGGACGTCGTAAAAATGTTCACTCTTTTAAAAACAACTTAAAAACATTGGAAAAAAATCGCTATTATATGTTTTAAGGTTTAAAGAATTGTATTCACAGAAACGTAAGGCTTATCTTGATTAACAGGATACCGACGCCATGTTGTACACACAGCTTCAATAAACAACATCTGTCAATCATGAAAAACTCAATCCAATTCTTGTTAGATTTATGTACTAGAGCTACAGAATATTTTTGTATTACCACCAATGAAGACACTTAACTTCTATTTTAACAAATTAAACGAAATTAATGAACAGAAAAAACGAATTTCAAACGACGTCACAACCTCGTTTCTTTTTGCTTTCACTTTCAACCTAACTTACATAAAGGTCTCAAAAAACTCTTAACTCACCGCAGTTTGCCGTCAGTCCTGTCCCCAAAAGGACAAATACTGCGAGGAAATACATGTTCGCGTCGAACTAGGCTCTCTTCGTTTCTAAAAGTCAAGTTGTATCCGAGTGTAAGACGACCCGTAGGCAGACTGCTGCTCACTGCCCGCTCCCTGCTGCTGCTTCCTGCTTCTTCTGTCACACTCTGCTCATGGTGCATTCATGGGCTGTCCGTAAACACTATAGGCTACACGGTTAAATGACGTATCGCTACATTTACAGACATTCATAGTTCTTGTAGTTCCTATTATAGAAACCATAAATCGCCTATTTTTATATAAAATCGGGAGTACAGCATTTTGATAGCTACTAATAAGCAGTGGTGTAAATGAACTAAGTAGATTTACTCAAGTACTTAGGTACAATTTTGAGGGACTTGTATTTGAGTAATTCCATTTGATGCTACTTTGTAATTCTACTCCACTACAATTCAGAGGTAAATGGTGTACTTTTACTCCACTACATTTATTTAATACCTTTAAATACTTTGCAGATTTTGATTAATGATGTGAAATATAACATAGCCTACACAAGACAGACACCTGGAGTAAATTCACAAGCTGCCCTGCAGCATACAAAGTCATTAAAACTAGCTGCACCTGTACCATGTTTTGATGATAACACTTAATGCATCAAAGTAACAAAGTACATTTACTATGTACTTTGTAGCTACTTTAGTCAAATGGAAGTAGCCTACTTGTTCTTGACTTTTTACTGCACTACATTTATTTAAGAGCGTATTCATTATTTAGTTTGTTAGTCTTATAAGATTTTATAAACAAACGTGATTTTCACAGAGTAAACTATAAGCAGTGGTCGTTGGACGCGGGGGATCGCCGTCCCCCCACTTATTTGGAGCCACCACTTTTTTTAAGCATGATTTTCTATAAATAGTCTAATAAATATAAAATCATTGCCAGTGTTATCAGTTGCAAGTGTGTATTTGTTGTAATAATGACGAAAACATAATACATGATTTCACAGTAATTATAATAAAAACGTAGCTCAAGTATTTATGCAACTTGATTTGAACCATAAGTGCATTGTACTGTACTATGAAGTAGTTATAATTACAACAACAAAGTTGCTGTTAATACAATAGACTGTATAGTAAAGTAGCCAGTATTACAAATGAGTACTTTTATATTTTATACTTGAAGTGCTGTTTCAAATACTTATGTATGTCATGTTTCTGGATAGCCTACTACAACAGTAACAACAATGGGACATTATAAACTGAGCCACATAAATGGCAAAAACAAAAATATCCACTTCGTTAGTTGAATCATGGTTTTAAAACGAGTAATTTTCAGGTACAAAAGGCGGAAAATAACTGCCGCGAGGAAGGCTATGTGCGCATGAACTGCTGTGCTGTGGTGTTCTGCGCGAATCATCCAATGAAATCATTCGAAACAAGTTGCTAGGCAGATTATATCAAATAAGGTTGTGAGGTTGTCAGACAGTAACCAAACGTACGCTTCCTATTACTAATATCTCACTGTGAAATATAATTTTTTTGTTAAAAATGATAGACCTAAATGTCATTAAGTCAAATAGTTTTAATTCATTACTTCAAGCAAATGTGGTCTTAGAACATTTACTAAAGTTGGCTACTGGATTCAAGTCTTACATAAAGTGATGAACACATTAATGCATTAATAACTATAATCCACAAATATGTTGATATTGTAGGCTCATTGTGGACTATTAACTGGAAAGGAATGATCTGCTCTTTGTTAATTGATGGAATGTTGGCTTTGTAAAAACAGTGAGAAATACCATCACAATTACCCAGAGTCCAAGGTGACACTTTCCCAAAGTTTGATTAGTCTAACTATTATTCAACATTATAACAAAATTAATTAAATATTTGTATTAAAACGAAGGTCAGCTGAGATAATTAGTCAATAGAAAGGAAATTAAATTAAACTACACAACAGTTAAAAACCAGTACAGCTAATTTATAACACGACAACATATTTTATAACCTTCGAATGTAATGTATGCAAAAATCTTATCTTGTATATTTACTAGGAACACAGTAAAAAGTACAACATTTGCCTCTGAAGTGGAAAGTAACTATAATCTGTACAGCATTTGAATACATTTTTAACTATTATGTTGATGACACTAAACATCAAGCGTCCGACCCCAACATTTGTGATGAGGGTTTTGCAGTATGAATGTTTAATTTAGAAAATAATGACATTCCTATCTCCTGGCCTTTGTCGAGATTTACAGAATCCTCATGACTGTTAGTTTTGCTGTAAGTCATCAGAAAGAAAAGATGTACGTATGAGACTTTCCTTGAAGAAGTGCTCTGTATTATAAAATAGAATATAATCAATGTCATGTTAAGCTCTGTACTGTGACTGCCTCCGCTGATACAGTATGTACAGAGAAAAGGAAGGAAATGTGTGTGTGTGTGTGTGTGTACCACTTCCGGTTCCCTCTTCTTGAAGTCAACAGTTTCTGACACATTCATTAGCTTAGAAGGCTGAAATAAGAGCTGCAGTTAACAGAAGCTCAAGATATTTGCAGATTTAGTCTACGACATAAAATGCATCAGTTAATACCCCACTGTCAAATGAAGCGTACGGTATGTGTTCTATGAGCTATATAGCTTAGCGGTGGTGACGCACAGCCATGTGAACGTGATTTGGTTTGTTTATAGCCTAATGTTAGCTTTTTACTTCTGCCGATAAAAAATCATAAAGTGATATTATTATGTGAAGATTATCCTGCTGAACAAAACGTGTAAGTATCATAAACGTTAGTTTGACAACAATCGTATTCTCTGCATTAAACCAAAATCCAATGGAAAAATCCCATTGCTTTTTTACATTTAACTCTTTATTCATTGCCGTCAAATTAACACACAAGGCATCCTTCTTGTCAGCAATAGATATATCTATGTACAAGTATTGTTATTCTGTTAAGACTTTGGTTTGACAGAAATACAATTACATTCACTTTTGCAGGTAAGTTTTATCACGTTCTGCCGAGTTCTCTTTCTGTCTTTCTGTACATCCGGTCACAATAGAAGAAGTCTCTCACGGCCTCCTTTATGGCAAACAAAGAAGAAGAAAACTCCTGGAGAACATTTTACATTGCCATATTCCAATTTTGTAGAGGCAATTTTGTTGAATCCATATACAACCATATACAGTATATTCATGCATTTATATTTTGTGTTTTAAGGGTGATTATGGAGGCGATAATACAAATCCATGTCTTGAATATTTCTTTAACTTAAATGCAACCTGCAACTCGCTTATTTTTTAAGGCAGTGACCCACTGGGCATCCTTTCCATCAACAATTTGGAGCCATGAAAAATGTAAATACACTTTGGACTCATGTTGCACTATAGGCTACACGGTTAAATGATGTATCGCTACATTTACAGACATTCATAGTTCTTGTAGTTCCTATTATAGAAACCATAAATCGCCTCTTTTTTATATAAAATCGGGAGTACAGCATTTTGATAGCTACTAATAAGCAGTGGTGTAAATGAACTAAGTAGATTTACTCAAGTACTTAGGTACAATTTTGAGGGACTTGTATTTGAGTAATTCCATTTGATGCTACTTTGTAATTCTACTCCACTACAATTCAGAGGTAAATGGTGTACTTTTACTCCACTACATTTATTTAATACCTTTAAATACTTTGCAGATTTTGATTAATGATGTGAAATATAACATAGCCTACACAAGACAGACACCTGGAGTAAATTCACAAGCTGCCCTGCAGCATACAAAGTCATTAAAACTAGCTGCACCTTTACCATGTTTTGATGATAACACTTAATGCATCAAAGTAACAAAGTACATTTACTATGTACTTTGTAGCTACTTTAGTCAAATGGAAGTAGCCTACTTGTTCTTGACTTTTTACTGCACTACATTTATTTAAGAGCGTATTCATTATTTAGCTTGTTAGTCTTATAAGATTTTATAAACAAACGTGATTTTCACAGAGTAAACTATAAGCAGTGGTCGTTGGACGCGGGGGATCGCCGTCCCCCCACTTGTTTGGAGCCACCACTTTTTTTAAGCATGATTTTCTATAAATAGTCTAATAAATATAAAATCATTGCCAGTGTTATCAGTTGCAAGTGTGTATTTGTTGTAATAATGACGAAAACATAATACATGATTTCACAGTAATTATAATAAAAACGTAGCTCAAGTATTTATGCAACTTGATTTGAACCATAAGTGCATTGTACTGTACTATGAAGTAGTTATAATTACAACAACAAAGTTGCTGTTAATACAATAGACTATAGTAAAGTAGCCAGTATTACAAATGAGTACTTTTATATGTTATACTTGAAGTGCTGTTTCAAATACTTATGTATGTCATGTTTCTGGATAGCCTACTACAACCGTAACAACAATGGGACATTAGGGAAGTCGCCTATTGTAAAATAGGTCAGGGAGTTACTTTCTGTCTTCTAATATAAATTGTTAAAGATAAGGCTACTAATGAATGTACTAAGCTAAACCAGAAAAAGCTAACTGCTGTAACCATTGACTATAAACAGGGGTGCACATAACTTTTTTAGTGAGTTACTCAGATGAGTACCAAGAGACAGCGTTTGGTACTCACCCCACACGAAGCGTGGTCCTCCTCAGTGTCTCCTTCACTGTCCTCAATTTACACTTCTTGCATGCTAGATGATGAAGATGATGAAGATGCACCTCCCTGTCTCTTTTTAAGCCTCCGATTTGCTTTCTCCAAAACTTGTTGCCAAAACTGTGAAGTCCTTGCATTTCCTGAGGCCAAGTTGAAGGATCAAATACTAAGAAATGATCACATGACTTGAAGTCATATCTGATTTCAAATGTGGGAAGTAACAAAGCACACTTATTTACTCAAGTACAATTTTGAGATACTTGTAGTTGACTTGAGTATTTCTATTTTATGCTACTTTGTACTTCTACTTTTACTCCACTACATGTATTTAATACCTTTAGTTACTTTACAGATGTGGATGAATGATGTGAAATCTAATCAAGTGTTAAATCAGACTTTAGTTCCACCTGGAGTAAATTCACAAGCTACCCTGCAGTATACAAAGTCATTCAAACTAGCTGCTCCTTTACCAGCTTTGAGAACACTTTCATGATCAATCATTATAAAACATATCATATATATTATTCTGAAATGGACCAATCTGCACAATGACTACTTTTACTGTCGCTACTTTCACTATATTTTGATGATAATACTTTTCTAATTTTACTTGAGTAACATTTTGAATGCAGGACTTTTACTGTAACAGAGTATTCCTACACAAGATCTGAGTACTTCTTCCACCTCTGTCTGATTTCAAACTCTTCCATAACACCCTGAGTAAGTTTGCAGCTGTGTGTTTCACTCCACTTTGGTGTAAATAAAACTGCAGCAGCTTGACCACAGAGCGTGAACGTTGTGATCAGATGATTTTGCGCAGTTCTCCAGTGTGTGCGCGGGGCACAGAATGTGCACAGGGGAGTCTCCCACCGCAGCCAGTTGGCGGACTTTTGGCACAATTCTGTTGTTTATACCGACGTTAACCCTGTCTGTGCACACGGCGACCAACTCTGTCGTCCAGTGATCTAAGCCTCTGCCTCCTGGAAAGCTTCACAGGTCCGTCGGTTATGTCCTGCGCGGCTCACCCAGCTCCAGTTCAATCAGTCATAGAAAGATTTTTTGCAGGGAGCGAAACGGCAACGTAGCTGCTTAATGTCTTTGGGTTTTTTGACATGCCTAGTAGTTTACTCCATTGAGTGTTGACAAGAAACACGTGTAGACGAAATATGTGTTTTGTTTTGATGTTTTGAGGTACGCAAAGGCGCGTAGTGACACAAGTGACGTTACGCAATTCAGATTTGTGCCGCGCATGCGTACCTGCGTACCAGTTATGTGCACCCCTGACTATAAAGTCTGCGTATATGGTAGGCTATATGTATCTGCATTTACAGTTGTAACAAACATTAACTGCAAGGTCTAGTCTTTAACCTTCATTTCACAAATACGACCGTCTACAGTGAACTTACCACCTCCAGCTGGCTGTAAACTGAGCCACATAAATGGCAAAAACAAAAATATCCACTTCGTTAGTTGAATCATGGTTTTAAAACGAGTAATTTTCAGGTACAAAAGGCGGAAAACAACTGCCGCGAGGAAGGCTATGTGCGCATGAACTGCTGTGCTGTGGTGTTCTGCGCGAATCATCCAATGAAATCATTCGAAACAAGTTGCTAGGCAGATTATATCAAATAAGGTTGTGAGGTTGTCAGACAGTAACCAAACGTACGCTTCCTATTACTAATATCTCACTGTGAAATATAATGTTTTTGTTAAAAATGATAGACCTAAATGTCATTAAGTCAAATAGTTTTAATTCATTACTTCAAGCAAATGTGGTCTTAGAACATTTACTAAAGTTGGCTACTGGATTCAAGTCTTACATAAAGTGATGAACACATTAATGCATTAATAACTTTAATCCACAAATATGTTGATATTGTAGGCTCATTGTGGACTATTAACTGGAAAGGAATGATCTGCTCTTTGTTAATTGATGGAATGTTGGCTTTGTAAAAACAGTGAGAAATACCATCACAATTACCCAGAGTCCAAGGTGACACTTTCCCAAAGTTTGATTAGTCTAACTATTATTCAACATTATAACAAAATTAATTAAATATTTGTATTAAAACGAAGGTCAGCTGAGATAATTAGTCAATAGAAAGGAAATTAAATTAAACTACACAACAGTTAAAAACCAGTACAGCTAATTTATAACACGACAACATATTTTATAACCTTCGAATGTAATGTATGCAAAAATCTTATCTTGTATATTTACTAGGAACACAGTAAAAAGTACAACATTTGCCTCTGAAGTGGAAAGTAACTATAATCTGTACAGCATTTGAATACATTTTTAACTATTATGTTGATGACACTAAACATCAAGCGTCCGACCCCAACATTTGTGATGAGGGTTTTGCAGTATGAATGTTTAATTTAGAAAATAATGACATTCCTATCTCCTGGCCTTTGTCGAGATTTACAGAATCCTCATGACTGTTAGTTTTGCTGTAAGTCATCAGAAAGAAAAGATGTACGTATGAGACTTTCCTTGAAGAAGTGCTCTGTATTATAAAATAGAATATAATCAATGTCATGTTAAGCTCTGTACTGTGACTGCCTCCGCTGATACAGTATGTACAGAGAAAAGGAAGGAAATGTGTGTGTGTGTGTGTGTGTGTGTACCACTTCCGGTTCCCTCTTCTTGAAGTCAACAGTTTCTGACACATTCATTAGCTTAGAAGGCTGAAATAAGAGCTGCAGTTAACAGAAGCTCAAGATATTTGCAGATTTAGTCTACGACATAAAATGCATCAGTTAATACCCCACTGTCAAATGAAGCGTACGGTATGTGTTCTATGAGCTATATAGCTTAGCGGTGGTGACGCACAGCCATGTGAACGTGATTTGGTTTGTTTATAGCCTAATGTTAGCTTTTTACTTCTGCCGATAAAAAATCATAAAGTGTAACGTGTAAGTATCATAAACGTTAGTTTGACAACAATCGTATTCTCTGCATTAAACCAAAATCCAATGGAAAAATCCCATTGCTTTTTTACATTTAACTCTTTATTCATTGCCGTCAAATTAACACACAAGGCATCCTTCTTGTCAGCTATAGATATATCTATGTACAAGTATTATTATTCTGTTAAGACTTTGGTTTGACAGAAATACAATTACATTCACTTTTGCAGGTAAGTTTTATCACGTTCTGCCGAGTTCTCTTTCTGTCTTTCTGTACATCCGGTCACAATAGAAGAAGTCTCTCACGGCCTCCTTTATGGCAAACAAAGAAGAAGAAAACTCCTGGAGAACATTTTACATTGCCATATTCCAATTTTGTAGAGGCAATTTTGTTGAATCCATATACAACCATATACAGTATATTCATGCATTTATATTTTGTGTTTTAAGGGTGATTATGGAGGCGATAATACAAATCCATGTCTTGAATATTTCTTTAACTTAAGTGCAACCTGCAACTCGCTTATTTTTTAAGGCAGTGACCCACTGGGCATCCTTTCCATCAACAATTTGGAGCCATGAAAAATGTAAATACACTTTGGACTCATGTTGCTGGAGGCCATCTTTGTTGCTGAGTGTATCACCACCCTCCTATCTATCCACAGAAGTCCCTTTACTGAATTATCTGCCCTTTCCTTCCCTCATCAGTTCCACTATTCTCCCATCCCTTAATCCATCCATCCCCTGTCAGTCCATCTTTTCCTCCCAAAGCGGAATCCAAATCCTCCTTTTTCGCGGCTCACGGCCTGCAGACCTCCAGCGATGGAGGTCAGAGCTTCGTTCCTCTTGCCTCCATCCTCCGCTTCACCTCCCTCCTGATAGTTCATGCTCTCCAGAGAGTGACCCCCGGGGAAGGGTGACAGCAACCGGTCTAACAGGTCTCCTCTCTGGGCCCTCCGCAGTGCTTCTTCCTCCCAGGAGCGGCCCTCCCCCCCCTCCTTCCCCTCCCCCTCCTCCCTGTGCTTCAGCAGAGCTTCCCTGGAGTCTTGAGGCCACTCGGCCCAGGTCTCAGGCCGGAAGAGCCACTCGGCCCTCGGGTCATCCAGAGCAGCCTGGAGTTGCAGCAGGTTGGACTCCAGCTGAGCTCCATCCCCCGTGGGCTGGAGGGCGGGGGGGAGGTGGGGGTAGGATGTGACTGTGGGTGGGACGGGGCAGAGGAGGGCGAGGAAGAGCAGGGTGAGCTGTGACGGCCCGAGATGGAGAGAAAGTTTCATCTGGAAATAAGATAACATTTTTATTTTTAACATTTTTTGGTGAAAAATAACTTGAAGTGAACCATGAGCACATTGTTATAGCAACAAATACATTCAAAGAAATTAAATATTGTCTGACGGACACACACAGCGTTGAGACCGGTCAGGTAGAGACCGGTCTCCAGTCAGCACCGCTGCAGACTCGCTGTTTGAGGGCTTGATAGCCCACTCCCCCTCCACACCGCTCCACACTTGTTGGTTTGGAACAGATGTGGCGGACCCTGGGCGCGAACGCGCAAACGGAGGGGTAGTGTGTAGGGGTAGGGTGTAGGGGGCGGTTTGGGATTGGGCCTTACTGTCCTTTTTTCTTAGAGGAAGTACAGAAACACTGAGCTCTGGATATGTTTTAATGTTTGAGGTGCAATAAACGACACAGCAGCTTTTTGGCATGATAAAACTATTATTTTCCGCCTCGCTCATGAGAGTAACAGCTGGAGAAATTACAGCCTCGCCTACTGATTTTAATTTAACCATATATCGAGACCGATTGTCGATTTCAAATGATTGAATGTAATTGTTTGCCTGACTGGCCATCGTAATCGGGCTCTTTGAAGATCAGAAAATCCACGGTTTTCAAAAAATTCTGATCGGATTGGCAAAAACTTCAGAATTTGTATTGACCGCCATTCAAATGACAGCGTTGTTTTCCCACAAAAGTGGGCGGGGCCGTAATTTCCGCCCGGAAGTGACGTAGGTGTTACTCTCATCTATATAAAGATATAACCATAGACTGTATATATAAATGGATGTAGTGTCCGTGACGTCACCCATAGGATTCTGCAGACTTGCCAAGAAGCCCTTAGTAGGCGGAGTCGGCCACTAACGGCTCGACAGCGACGTCAGATTCTAACTCCCGCCTGCTCCAGCCTGCTCCAAATAAGGAAGTAAACAGAGTTAGCTCAGGCTAAGAAGCTAAGCTAACATGAAATACATGCATACCAAGTTACTGCGTGGCACTTTGGTTTTGATAACAGTGTAGTTCCCCTATATAAACGTTACATTCATAATCAAACGAGACACTCTGCAAGAGAATTCGCTATTTTTTGTTATTCTTAATGCTTATCATCACGTTAATAAAATAAAAGAAGTACCGATACATAGCAGAACAATTGTGGCAATGTTCAGCTTAATAAGCCTTGTTCAACATAATTTATTTAGCTAATACTACAGTGGGCTGCAGGCGAACCAAGTCTGCGTTTCGCTGCATTCCTTGATCTCCAGTTATAACGCCGGACTCCACCGCCCGGAGCTAACAGAGCCGCAAGGGGCTCCGGGACGCCGGCTGGAGCTGGACGCCGGCTGGAGCTAGCCCCCTGCGGCTCCGTTAGCTCCGGCGGCCACCACTGGGATAATTGGGTCCCATTTTAACATTTGCTCCCGTTTAGCATTATGGGCGTCATAGCCATATACTATAAAAGTCTTACCCAAGGCTGAATCATAAACGAAACTGTATATATATATGTATACATCTATAAAGGGTTACATCCTTAGCTGGCTAATAAGCTACATAACAAGCTAAGCTAACAAGCACACAAACACCTGCTAACGGGGTTAACATGTATACTATTATCCTTTTAGACTTCTTGGAAGTTCTGTTACTACATTCAAGCGCACAGCACGACATTTTAATTGTCTGGTATTTGTAACAATATTCCCTAAAAGGCACAATCACCACGAACACGGCTAAAGGGTCAAGTACAGTAACTACAACTAACTAACGTTGTAGCCTAGCAGAGTGGACAAGTTGCTGTGAGCTTACAGTGAGGCACGTACCTGTCCATCAGAGTGACCACGCCCTAATTTATGCAAAAACTTTAAGACCTAATATAAATAAAAGGGTTAGAAAACAATTCACTCACAGATTCATAATCATGAAGGTGGAATCTAACTATATCTATAATAATATGTATGGCATCCAGGGGTAGAAACATGTTTTTTTCTGCTGTAAAATTGGGCATTTTAACATGGGGGTCTATGGAAATTGCACCTTTCTGCAGTCATCGCCTATCGGCCAATATAATAACTGCAGTTTGTGGCACTTCCGTATTGGCGTCCCGGCTCTTTCCCAGAGTTTGCCGCTTGGATATAACATCAGTGTTTGGCAATAGGCACGGGTTTCACATAAGTGAAAGACACCTCAAGAGAACACTCAGAGCGAGGGGACATGCACGTCGCAAAGCATACTCTGAGCTGAGTTATTGACAGATTCGAATTTCGCGGATCAATAACTCTCTCATGAACATAACGTTGTAAAAATACAAACAACATTACTTTACAATCATAGCAAGGTAGACAACGAGCTACAGAGTCGTTTTTATCAGAACAGTTCGATACGCGCCGTCATCCGAGCTAAACTTCAAGAATTGGTCACAATCTACAGCTAGAGGAGGGAGAGGAGTGTTTAGGGACCGTCTACAAACTGCAACGCCGAAAATATATAGGCCCAATCCCAAACCGCCCCCTACACCCTACCCCTACACACTACCCCTCCGTTCGCGCGGAGGGTCCGCCACATTAAGTGCTGTTCCAAACCAACGAGTGTGGAGCGGTGTGGAGGGGGAGTGGGCCATAGATATATATATATATGGAGTGGGCTATCAAGCCCTCAAACAGCGAGTCTGCAGCGGTGCTGCCTGGAGACCGGTCTCTACCATGGATGTATAATAAGAACTGGATACAGCGTGGGAGGCGGGGCCTCATTCATTCCTATGAGAGTTGCTCATTCGCGCATGATGATAAAATGGCCCAACTTTTGAGAGAGCGAAACGTCACAGATTACCCGGCATGCCTGAGAAGTACCCGTATGTGCGCTCATAGCGCATGCGCAACTTTAACCATGCCCCCCAAAATGCTCGTTCACATCAAGCACGTCAATTTGCGTACACGTAACAGCACCGCACGTTCATGACAGCATGGTAATGGTTTGTTATGATAGATTTGATATTAACGAGGCGGCAGTTAGCAGCTAGCGGTTAGCTAGTAATTATGCTAATTTACACATCAATCGTTATGTACTTTTATATTACGCTGTAACAGGATCTAGTGATATCCAAGCAACAGAGCTTCATTTAGCATGAAAGAATTATTGCACTGTATATATGTATATATATACAGTGCAATAAGCTTCTTAGTGCAATAAGAAGCTACAGGGACGTTAATCTACGTCGGTAATATTAACTTTATTTAATACAACATTTACGGTACAAGATTTAATCATACAGCCCATGTAGTATAATATTTTACAAATGATGAATTACAGCAAACATGTGCAATATATCCATTATTACAGCTCCGTGGGCTGGCAGTAAGGCGATATGGGTCCGTTCTTATTGTGCATCCATGGGTAAAGATAAACGCATGTAGTGCTGAACACGTAACATGAATGTGCCGGGCGGCGCGGTCCCGTGGGTTAGATGCGCGTTCATAATGCAGAGGGAAATAACTCTCAGAATAACGTTATTAGCACATTTTTACAACTTGAGGAACGAATGTTTTTAATAAGGGCTATACAAGTGTTCATACTGGGTAGTTTATTTAGTTTAAAAAAAATGATCCAACGATTTACAGACCACTCTTTCCCCATGTAAGTCAATGGGAAAAAGTGTTTCCGGGCCTGGCAACCAAAAGGAAGTGTAGTACCGCCGTTTGGCCAGCACGAATATTTTCATCTGAGTCCGGCGCACTTCCTGGGGGCTTGAGCCTCGTCTCAATACCCCTCCTCGACTCCTCCTTTCCCTCACTCGCGTCCCTTCCTTGCGTCTTAGCTCCGCCTCCGTAAGATGCGAGCGAGAGACACGAGGAGGTGACGCGAGGACAGAGGAGTCCTCAGGTATTAATTGGGATGTCCTCGTTCACTCAAACGTCACTCTTAAACGACGTCTGTTAATGATGACATGTGCACAGCTGTATCCCCTCTCATCGGGCTTAACTGAATAACCCCTTAGAACCGGCCCATTTGTTGTTAAATATGTATTTAAATGATGAATCATTCTCTTGTTAGTCAAGGAATTCAATGTATGATGGTTGGTCCTGCTTTTGTGTTCCGTTTTGGTGTAAAATGTACATTTCAATAAAATTATAATTATAATAATGTGAAAGCCTTTACTCTGAACATGTGTGTCCTGTAGATCCCCACATTCACCACAAACCCACATTCAGGACTGTGCATTTTAAATAATTTAACTACTCAATATTTTAACACAAAACAAAACAAATAATTGTTATTTATCAAGATCTAGCCATTTATGAAATAGCTTTCTTAATAGCTATGTTTTAGTGACGTTCAAGATCATTAAACATGACTTAAATTGTTAGTATAACCTTAAGAAATGAATTGCACATAATAATTCCCACGGAGCTGTGAGCACTTATACATTTATGTGACGCTTTTCCACTCATTCTTCCAGTTCTCAGTTTTCCTCTATTGAAATCGACCAGCTGTGAAGGTGGGGGCGGGGCTTTTATACGCGAGTAGTGAAAACACTTCCGCGTAGTCTGCTCTCGTGTATCCTCCCTTTCGTCTCCTCCCGCACCCCTCCTCCCTCACCCCTCCTCGACTCCTCCGTGTGCATTTCAGCTATTGGGGCTGCGTTTCACTTCGGTTAAATGGATTCCTTGCGTCCCTCACTTGCGTCGTTTCCCTGTGACTAGTCCCTCCCACCAGGGAAGCATGGAGAGACGCAAGGAAACCACGAGAAGCAGGGAAATGAGTTTTAAGGGCAATGGGACGTCCTTTCCTCCGGAGCGTCACGTGAAGCGACGTCCGTTTGTGATGACGCTGCACAGCTGATCGTCTGACAGCAGCCAGCTCTGTCCCCGTTATTTTCACACACACCCTCGCCTCTGTTAGTACACATTTACTGACACAAACATGTGTATCATCTGTTGTAGACCCAAATAAATAAAATAAAATAAGAACTAATTCACAAAAAACATAAACGCCATTCTTAAAATGTATAAACGAACTATTAGTTTGGTTAATATTGATTACAGTGCACAATATAAATAAAATAATTGGGAGAAGAAAAAGAAATATGTTATCTATCAAAACCCAGTTAGATTAACATTAACTGGATTGCACACTTTGTGTGGATATGTAGCAAATTAACATGTTGAATAGCACTTAATGACTGACTGAATGGAAATGACAATAAATGAAAATGTAAAACGAAAAAAGCGATCACGAAAATGTTTCCAATAAATGAATGAAATGATTTTTGTCCACTTTGTTGTTCAGATATATCACATATTTGTAACTAAATGATGCATTAATTGAAACAAAACACAGTATAAACTGAGGAGTGAGTCCCGTGAGTTTCCTGTGTTTTCTTCACTCCGCTGGGAAACTCTGCTCTCCTGTCAAGAAGCATCAGATCAGTGCATGCGCTGCACCGTCCAATCAGTGAGCGATACACAGTAAGGGGGCGGGGCGAGTCTCTGAGGATTTCATCGAAGGATGGTCTGGTGGTTCCTCGATTATAGCTCCTCCATTGTCGCTCCTCGCTCCTCGATCCTCGGTCCTCCGGCAAAAATAAGGCCATTGGGACGTTACTCAAAATGGCGCAGACAAATCAACTTCCGGTGAGACCGAGACCGAGGAGCGAGGAAATGAAAAATAAGAGAAGTGAAACGCAGCCTGGGGTTGCGTTCGAATACTCCAAAAAAACAGCTCCTAAGTTCTAACCCTATCGTCTATTCCTTGACCTCGGAGTGAAACGTCATGGGGTTAAGGGATAGTGGATAGGAGAATTCAAAAGGATTTAGGAGAAGAGACTGCGGCACTTTAGAGAATCCGACTGCACTTTCACTATCCGACGTGTTTATGATGCGCCAGCAGAGGTCATAAATGTGCGCCTGCTGCTGTGGGGAAACTATGGAAACTACAGTTTTCTATACAGCGGACTACAACATGGATGTTTAATAAGAACGAGGGACTACTGTAAACTCATCTAGAGACTCTGCACCGTGCTCTGATGCTGTTGTTTTATGCTTTATGAACGGGGACAACAGAGAAACATATTCTTCATGACCAAAGTTGGAATTGAAATAAAAAAGGAAAGTGAAATTTATGCTCGTCACCCTCTCCCTCCGGTCCACATTAATACAAATGATCCCAATACATATGATTGTATGAAAAGATCTTAAAATCAATACAAATGTATTTATTATAAACGTTAGTCCTTAACATCTATCACTGTGTATATATATATATATATATATATATATTTTTTTTTTTTTTTTTTTTATTGAACATTTTTTTAAACATACAAAAGCTCGGTGAGGATATCATCAACTTATCAACATAAGTTCAAGACATTCATTCACAATAAGACAAAAAAACATAACTAATACATCCAGTAAGAGCCAGGGGGAAAGAAAAAAGCATAAAGGCACAAAAACATTTAAGAGGCATTAAGCTTACTTAAAATAATAACCATTTGGAAATGTCATTGCAAATCTTTATAGTCAGGTTACAAGATTGTATTTTTCTAAGGGACAGAAAAAAGGACTTGAACTCATTTATGAAACAGGGAAAGGAGGGCTTGCCTCCTCTCCATTTACTACAATGTAAATGGTATTTACCCAAAATAATAATTATATTTACCAAATCAGAAATGGGAGAGTCCAAATTATCAATATAATATAAAATGTGATATATTTTGAAGGCCGGAATATTTGTTAATTTAAGTAACAACCAATCTCTCACATTCGACCAAAACAATTCAGAAAAGGGGCAAGAGAAAAATAAATGTTCCAACGATTCATCAGATAAATTACAAAAGGAACATGGTTCCACTTCAAATTTAAATCTTGAATTTAAAAAAGTAGAAACCGGGTAGATTTTATGAACAATTTTAAAATGAGTTTCTTTTGCTTTAGGGGAAATAGGCCATTTTATAAAATCAGATAGAGCTTTTTCCATTACAGATAAAGTGTCTAAATCGGTCACTTGAGGAAATAAGCCTCTGTTAAAATTGTGAAAAATGTGGGATTTCAGGGAAGCATTAATAGATTTGTTATTCTTAAGAGTATCGCCAATAATTTCCAAATTAGGTAAAACTGATACAACATTTGAGTACAGTAAAGTATTATGAATCATTCCAATAAGTGGTACAGGAATTGCTTTACAGATTTTGTTATAATCTTTAGCAGTACACGTTATATTGTATTTCGTTGAAAAGGCCAAAAAATCTAGCAGTTTACCATTGCAATCTAGTAAATCTCTAACAAACAAAATACCCCTCTCATACCAATCACTCCTAAACAAGGATTTTCTGTTTATGATAATCACTCTATTGTTCCATAACGTAGATCCATGAGGAGAAAAATTGTGGGTAAATATCATCTTCCAATAATGAAGTATCTGCTTATGAAAATTTGACAATTTGGTCGGAATCTTATTAACCTCAAAATCACATTTTAAAAGAAAATCAAACCCTCCTAGACGTTTAAATATGGCCTTTGGAATATGGAACCACATGGATTCTGGATGGGACAAAAAGGCTTTCAACCATTTTATTTTAATTGTTCCAGTCATCGATTCAAAGTCTAAAGCTTTAATTCCGCCTTTATCATATTCTTTAACAAGCTGTGACTTTTTAATGTAGTGAGTTTTATTTCTCCACAAGAATTGGAAAATAATTGAGTTGGCTTTTTTTATATTAGCCGAAGAGACAAAACATGAGTGGCATGGATAAATAAGTTTAGATATACCTTCTGCTTTAGTAAGAAGAACTCTGCCAAAAATAGTAAGATCTCTAGTTAACCAACGACTGAGAGATTTCTTCATATCTGTGATACGGTTACAAATATTAAGATCTTCTCTCCTGATATAATTTTTAGATAATGTTATTCCCAAATATTTCACCTCAGGTACCACTCTAATAGAGTCAATAGTGGAATCATCACATGAATGGATAGGGAGTAATTCACATTTTGAAAGATTAAGAGATAACCCTGATGCTTTTGAAAAAATTGAAATTGTGTTAAGAGTTTCCTTTACCATAGATTTATTCTTTAGGAAAATGGATGTGTCATCCGCAAATTGACTAATTTTGAACTCTTTGTCAAAGAGGGTAATGCCTAATATTTTGTGATTCTTTATAATAAGCGTTGTTAATACTTGGGTGGTCAGAATAAATAATTTGGGGGAAATAGGACAACCCTGTCGAATACCACGTAAAACCTTAAACCTAGGGCTCATTCCAGGGTTCAAAGATACAGAACTATAAATGTCCGAGTAGAGCATCCTAATTATGTTGCAGAAATGTTCACCAAAACCCAGAAATGTCAGAGTTTCCATTAAAAAGGAATGTTCAACAGTATCAAAAGCCTTGTAAAAATCCAGAAATAGTACGAGACCTTCAGTATCAATAAACTCCTGGTAATCAAGCATATCCAATATCAGTCTGGTATGGTTATGAATACTTCTGCCCTTTATAAAGGCTGATTGACATTCATCTATTAGTTGATTCAGACCCGAGTTTAACCTGTTAGCATAAACATGTGCTAAAAGTTTGTAATCATTACATAACAGGGTAATAGGTCTCCAATTATCCAACAAAAGATTATTTTTATTTGGTTTTGGAATTAAGGTAATAAGGCCATGTTTCATGGTTGGCGAAAGGTTTCCTGCTGAAATGCAATCTGTGAACGCCTTATAAAGCATTTCTCGCACATCTGACCAAAAACATTTATAAAACTCTATGGTTAAACCATCCAGCCCTGGTGATTTGCCACCAGACATTTGCAGTAATGCACTATCTAATTCTTCAATTTTTAGTCCATCGTCCATATACTGTTTAAAAGAATAATCTATTGTCTTTTTGAATTCTGTAATTTTACTAAAAAAGTTATCACAATTTTCTTTAGAAAACTTTGAGTTATATAAATTGCTATAAAAAAGTCTAATTTCTTCATTTATCTGGTCTTGATTTTCAATAGTGACATCATTAATAATCAGTTTTTGGATTTTCTTTTTCACTTGTCTTTGCTTTTCAAGATTGAAGAAATAAGAAGTGTTTTTCTCTCCTTGCTCAATCCATCGGGCTCTCGAACGAATAAAAGCTCCCTTTGCTTTTTCCAAATACATGTTGTCTAATTGAGTTTGTAAATTGTTCAGTTGAATTTGCTCATCCAATGATAACTCAGCTTTAAGGCATAAATTATTAATTGCACTTGTCATCTCTTGTTGTTTTTGTTTCTTTAATCTAGAAGAGTATTTACAGGATTTTATCGCAATCTGTCTCACACTAAATTTAAACCATTCCCATTTACTGAGAGATGACATATCCAAAGCCAGAGTTTCTTTTATCAGTTGTTTGATCTCTCTACAAAAATCTGCATTCTCCAAAAGACTATTATTGAATTTCCATATAGGGTTAAGATTGGGACTGAAGTTGCATAGTAAAAAGGACAAAGAGATGACACAGTGATCCGTCAGAGGTGATGCTGAAATGTCACACTTTGAGACATTATTAGTTAAACTAGTAGAGATTAACCAATAATCGAGCCTAGAGCACTGACCATTGTTAGAAGAGTTAAACCAGGTATATTGTGATTTTGAGGGATTATTTATTCTCCAAACATCAGTTAAATTAAGTTTAGAGGCCAAGTGAATAATAGAATCATTAAAATTATGACATTGTCCCCTTAAAGGAAGACGATCTAACCACTCATCAGGAACTACATTAAAATCCCCTCCGATTATAATCTTATCAGTCATATAAAGTGCTTTCCATTCCTCTAATTTTTGGCACAAGATTGAAAGAAAATTATTGTTTTGAATCTTTCTGTTATACCCATAAACACACACCAGTATGTAATTAGACCCATTCACATCAGTCACAACCATTAGCCAATGACCGTTTGTATCACTCCTGTGGTCAATTATATTTCCAGGTAACCTGTTAAATAAAATCATCACTCCAGCCGAATGTGTTGTTCCATGGCTGAAAAAAATGTTGTCTCCCCATTGTACTTTCCAGAACTTAGTGTCTGCCTCTGCAGAATGAGTTTCTTGCAGAAAAACACAATTTGCTTTTTGTTCCTTACAAAAAAGAAAAATTGCCTTACGTTTCACATTGTTTTTTAGCCCCCTAGCATTTAAGGATATGAAAGATAACATTGAAAGAGCAAAGATAGAATCTTTAAGAAAATGCGCAAAGGAATGTTATATCGATGCGCAGGAGTGAGTAACGTAGCCCTTAACAAACATATTTAGTGCAATAGCTCACAACATTTTGAATATAACCTGAGACAAGTCCAATCAAACACTCAAACTGAGAACTTCAGCATACCTACTGAGGACAGAAAACCTGCTCCCTGTCCTTCCAGTTAATTACTGCGGTGTTTTTCACTTTATTCCGGGTCCACTCTTTTGTTGTCAATCAGCGCGAAGCCTTCCTTCAAAAAGGCTCTCTTCCCCTTTCTCCTGGCTTCTTGAACCAGTGGCCACAGCTTGGAGCGAGCCTCCCGGTCCTCCTTGGAGAAATCCTCTTTGAAACGAATGTGCATCTCGCTGCAGACTCTCGCATCTTTGGACTTTTTCCAGATCTCGTCACGAACAGTCCTCATCCCGAACTGAATGATGATTGACCGCGGTGTGTTGTTGGAAGTAGCTGCATTACCCTTCATACCCAGCCGATGGACAGTGTCCACTGAGTCACGCAGCTTCTCCACAGACAGCGGAACAACTCTTGTGAGTATCCCGATCACAGCTTCTCTTGTGTTTTCTCCTTCTTTTTCAGGCAGACCATTCATCCTCAGATTCCACCTCCGTTTGTAGCGGGCTTGCTCCTCGCCAGACTTACGTAGTAAAGTGTTATCTTTTAGAAGATCATCAAACTTTTTCTGAAGAGCAGAAATGTCTTTCTTATTTTCTTTAGCTGCTTCAGTGTTTGCTTCAATGCGTTTTTCAAACTTTCTTAACAGCTCTGTCTGTTCATCCATTTTTCCGGATAAGACTTGAATTGCCTGGAGAATGGTGCTGTTGCTATCCTCTGCCATTTGTGTTTCGCCGTGAACCTTCGATTTCTTTGGATTCGGTCCTTTAGTTGGTGTGTGGTCCCGATTTATTTTGTGTCCCTTAGAGTTGTCCGCTTCCATGTCCTCAATATCCGAGTCGTCACACGCCTCACGGAGAACTTTTAAGTTGTAATCGTGGTCGGTCATGCTAGCAGGCACTTTATGTCAAAAGTGTTGGTAACTGGAGAATTAAAGTAAAATGTGACTATTTAAGCTTCTATAATAACTTAAAGTGTATCATGAATAAGCTATTGCCTGTCAGTTTTACAGTCAAGGACTAAAATCTAAACTTTTTCTACGAGCCTGCAACGTTGTTACTTCTCACTCCGCCATCTTCCCGCGGATCTCTATCACTGTGTATATCACCATTCAAACATCTTTTAAAAGTTGAACAAACCCCACACAGCTCAGTAAAGACTGTGAAATGTTGACTTTATTTGATCATTTCAGTAAAAACTAACGTTCATATTTCTCTTTTTGATTATAATACTGATGAACGTTCAAAACAAAGCATTTTGGCAACTTACCACATACGTTTTAAAATGCTTAATAAGCACCGTAACTTTCATGATATCATTTCTCGTTCATAATCGGTTGTTTCCGTGAACGGCCGACTGTTGTGTGACGGCAAATGCTGCGGCCGCAAGGCATTGTGGGGCAGCATTTTCTCCTCTCCTTTCGGTTAGGGAGGTCCAGTGGTTCCTAGGCTAAAGGAGGTTATAAAGGAAGTTTGAAACCTCCTTTCCTTTTAATTTAGAGAATTCGAACGGCACTTATCATGGCTGCCACTGAGGGACTTCCGGGTCATTTCACTCCGTTAGGAAGGTTCCTAAGCTAAATGGACTATTCGAATGCAACCCGGGACGTCCTTCAACATGGCGTGTCTTGATCGATTTCCGGGTCAAGTCCCGGAGGAGGGGAAGAGAGGAGTCACTAGGCTTGTTTGAGACGAGCTGCGGCTCGCCTCGAAAGTAGACGAGAATAGCCGATCGCAGCCGGGGGAGGTCTCAAAAAGCTCGCCTGAAGTCGGACAGCTCGGAGTCGGCTTCTTCTTCTTCTTCTTCTTCTTCTTCTTCTTCTTCTCTCGGTTTTTTGGCGGATTTCAAACAACTTTAAGGTGCATACTGCCACCTCCGGAGTCGGCTTGACTCGGTTTGCATTTATAAATGCACACGGCTGTCACTACCCGATCCGTTCACCTGCCCGATCGGTACTGCGCATGTGCGAGATGGTCCGCCATATTGGACAACTCCGTACGGCAACCCAACTAGGACACTTGACACAGTGGCTTTTGGCAAAGCACACAAAAAAAACCTCAAAAAACCGAGAGAGATGAGTTATTGTTATTACAACGTGACTTCACTATTATTTAACAACTATTTCTATTGGGTTCTTTTATTTGGGGTTAAGTACATTGTCAGAATAAGTGAGAAATGGATTTAACTTCTGTTAGACAGCTATCATACTGAATAAATATTTATGCAAAAACGTATGGCATTAATAATGTATATCTAATTACATTAACTGTGAATGTCTTTCATTTTATTTAAAATGAACAATTACATACAACATTTTCCATAAAAAAGTTGATTCAAGAACAAATCTCTGTTATTAGATCAGTACTTTTCTTATATGACTATTATTGCTAAATTTGAAAGGTCTTTACCAGCTTTGGAATTATATATATATATATAGCACCTTCTGCCATCCCATCTCTACTGACAATCATTAACACTTAGATTTTATGATATCGTAAGCATCGTCAGTGATTGACTTGAACACTGAGAATGTATTTATTAACTTCAGACATTTTCATATACAAATGTGATCATACACCAACACACTTTTTAGAGATATACATTTTTCACACACAACGCACAACCATTTACTAAATTAAACCATATCCCATCATAATACGAGCAAATAAAAAGGCACAACAATAAATATATTATGTGTGTGTGTGTGTGTGTGTGTGGGGGGGGGGTTGTTAAGATCCAGGTCCAATGGGGGCAGAGGGGAGAGGTGGGTTCAGCATCCTACAGGAAATGTAATTTGCATGTAATATTATTTATTAATATGGAATAATTTAACTGGAGTTTGTTATCCTTTAATTTTGCTTGATTAATTATATTGCAGGTTGTGGGTAACAGCCAGTCCATGGTAGCAGCACGGGAACAGCTTATTCCTCTGAACTTGTGTGCTTTCCGTTCAAAAACTGCAGGAACCCTAAACACAGACACAACCCCCTTCCCTTTGTGGTGTATCACAATGCACAATCTCAACTATTGTAAACACGATAATAAGTAGAGCAATCCTTCCTCAAAGTAAATCTTGTCTTCCAGTATTTTTCACGAGTCCAGTATAGTATTTAACTAGACCAAGGTAGCAAGAACTAGTTTATCTTTGTTTTATATATAATTCCAAAGCTGGTAAAGACCTTTCAAATTTAGCAATAATAGTCATATAAGAAAAGTACTGATCTAATAACAGAGATTTGTTCTTGAATCAACTTTTTGATGGAAAATGTTGTATGTAATTGTTCATTTTAAATAAAATGAAAGACATTCACAGTTAATGTAATTAGATATACATTATTAATGCCATACGTTTTTGCATAAATATTTATTCAGTATGATAGCTGTCTAACAGAAGTTAAATCCATTTCTCATTTATTCTGACAATGTACTTAACCCCAAATAAAAGAACCCAATAGAAATAGTTGTTAAATAATAGTGAAGTCACGTTGTAATAACAATAACTCATCTCTCTCGGTTTTTTGAGTTTTTTTTGTGTGCTTTGCCAAAAGCCACTGTGTCAAGTGTCCTAGTTGGGTTGCCGTACGGAGTTGTCCAATATGGCGGACCATCTCGCACATGCGCAGTACCGATCGGGCAGGTGAACGGATCGGGTAGTGACAGTTGTCGAGGGGTATAGAGTGGCGAAGTCCCTCCCACTTACTTCCGGGTAATGGGACCTTATTTCGGAAAAATTATGCATTGAAGTCAATGGGGAGAGAAAACTTATCTTTCGATCCCGTTTGAATTGTGCCATGAATTACACATATGATGTTTGTCAATCTTAAAAAATCATTTCCATGTCAAAAAAGTCACAGTTTGTCGTAAAACTGTTGAAATATAAGACTATGAAAAATACGTAACTAGAAAGACTACAAATCCCAGAGTCGCGTAAGTGATGTCACAATTGTTTACCTCCACCATTCAGATACCTAAGATCAGCGCAATATAGATATAATCTATCTATATGGCGCTGGCTAAGATAAGATAACTTTAACAAGATGCCTGTGTGCTTAGTACCAGGTTGTTATTATACCAGCAATGGGTCTTGCTCGTTCTTTTGCTTCCCGTCTGATGAAACGACCAGGAGTGGCTTGATCAAGTTAGCTACCTAGCTAGTAGCTAGCACGTTAGTTAGCATTACAGCCTTGTCATTTTTATTAGCCTTAACATGAAGTAACATTAAGTAACCCAAAATGTTAAACAGTAAGAGTAGTAATCATATTTCGTGAACCCTTTGAATTGTTAGGATGGCTTGGAAGGGTAGGACCCAAATGCAGACTATCAAAAAGGTAACAGGTCTCGTAACAAAAAGCGAGCTTTATTTTAAAAGCTGATCAAAACAAGGCATGAAACAAATGGGTTGTACAAAAAAACTGACCGTGACCCACATGGAGGGAGACAGGAGAGACAACCGTGACTGACATGGAGGAAGACAGGAAAAACCAACAATGAACCGACAGGGGAACACAGGAAGAGACAAGACTAAATACAGGGAGGGGTAATCACAAGACACAGCTGGGGTAAGAGAGGCAGAAACACAAGGGCAACAGGTGAACACAATCAGACAATCAGACACACCAGGGGAACTAATGACAGGAAGGCAAACACAGGAAGAAGGAACAGAGAAGACACAAGGAGGAAAACATTTCAAAACAAAAGGTGGAAAATGAAAACATAAATACAAAACCGTAACAGAACCCCCCCCTCAAGGGACGGATTCCAGACGTCCCAAGAAAACCCCCAAAAGTCCAAAAAATTCCAGCAGGGTGGGTGGAGGGGGTCTGGAGGACGGGTTTGGGCTGACAGCCCAGGGGCACAGCGGAGGACCCGGAAGGGGTCTCGGGCAGACGGCCCGGGGGCAAGGCAGAGATCAAGGAGGGGGTCTCGGGCGGACGGCCCGGGGGCAAGGCAGAGTTCAAAAAAGGGCGAAGACCACAGCGGGCGAACTCAGGGGGCCGGGCATGAGAGCAAAGGCAGCGGCTGAAAGCGTCAGGAGGCCGGGCTCGAGGGCGAAGGCCACGGCTGGGGAAATCAGGGGGCCGAGCTCGAGGGCGAAGGCCCCGGCACTCAGGGGGCCGGGCTCGAGGGCGAACAAGAAGGCGTCGACGGACAGCTCCGGAGGCCGGGCAGGAAGGTGCTGACGGGACAACTCCGGAGGACGGGCAGGAAGGCGCTGACGGGACAACTCCGGAGGCCGGGCAGGACCCGTTGTCGGCCAGACAGGAACCGGAGCCGACGGAACAGGCGTAGACGGGATCCTGGACATGACATGGACTGGTGTCAATGGGACCCCGGATGGAGCAAGGGCTGGTGTCGACTGGACCTCCAACGGAACAGGACACAGAGTTGGCAGGACCCCCGGTGGAACAGGTGTCGGCGGGACCTCCAACAGGACAGGACACAGAGTTGGCAGGACCCCCGGCGGGACAGGTGTCGGCGGGACCCCCAACAGAACAGAACATGGAGCTGGCAGGACCCCCGGCGGGACAGGTGTCGGCGGGACCCCCAACAGGACAGGACATGGTGTAGGCAGGAAATCTGGTGGAGCAGGTGTCGGCGGGACCCCCAACAGGACAGGATCTGGTGTTGGCAGGAAACCTGGCGGAGCAGTAGTCGGCGGGACCCCCAACGGGACAGGACATGGGGTTGGCAGGACCCACAGCTGAACCCCCAACGGCACATGACACAGGGTTGGCAAGACCCCCGGCAGAAGAGTAGTCGGCGGGACCCCCAATGGGACAGGACATGGAGTTGGCAAGACTCCCGGCAGGAGAGTAGTCGGTGGGACCTCCAACAGCACAGGACATAGGGTTGGCAGGACCCCCGGCAGAAGAATAGTCGGCGGGACCCCCAACGGGACAGGACATAGGATTGGCAAGACCCCCGGCAGAAGAGTAGTCGGAGGGACCTCCAACGGCACAGGACATAGGGTTGGCAGGACCCCCGGCAGAAGAGTAGTCGGCGGGACCCCCAACGGGACAGGACATAGGATTGGCAAGACCCCCGGCAGAAGAGTAGTCGGCGGGACCTCCAACGGCACAGGACATAGGGTTGGCAGGACCCCCGGCAGAAGAGTAGTCGGCGGGACCCCCAACGGGACAGGACATAGGATTGGCAAGACCCCCGGCAGAAGAGTAGTCGGCGGGACCTCCAACGGCACAGGACATAGGGTTGGCAGGACCCCCGGCAGAAGAGTAGTCGGCGGGACCTCCAACGGCACAGGACATAGGGTTGGCAGGACCCCCGGCAGAAGAGTAGTCGGCGGGACCCCCAACGGGACAGGACATAGGATTGGCAAGACCCCCGGCAGAAGAGTAGTCGGCGGGACCTCCAACATCACAGGACATGGGGTAGGCGTCGGCCATAGAGCCAACAGGACACGGGGTGCTGGAGTCGGCCGGACCACCGACAGAACACGAGGGGCTGGAGTGGGCCGAACCACTGACAAAACACGGGGGGCCGGAGTCGGCCGGACCACCGACAGGACACGAGGTGCTGGAGTCGGCCGGACCACCGACAGGACACGAGGTGCTGGAGTCGGCCGGACCACCGACAGGACACGAGGTGCTGGAGTCGGCCGGACCACCGACAGGACACGAGGTGCTGGAGTCGGCCGGACCACCGACAGGACACGAGGTGCTGGAGTCGGCCGGACCACCGACAGGAGACGGGGTGCTGGAGTCGGCCGGACCACCGACAGGAGACGGGGTGCTGGAGTCGGCCGGACCACCGACAGGAGACGAGGTGCTGGAGTCGGCCGGACCACCGACAGGACACGGGGGGCTGGCGTCGGCCGGGGAGCCAGTACTGGAGCCGAAACTGAAGTCGGGACCATGGCTGCTGGGACCGGAACAGGGGCCGGAACCATGGCTGCTGGGGCCGGAACCATGGCCGCTGGGGCCAGAACTGGGGCCGGAACCATGGCTGTATGGGCCGGTTCTGGAGCCGGAACCATGGCTGTGTGGGCCGGTACTAGAGCAGGCACCATGGCTGCTGGGCACGGAACCGGAACACGGAACCATGGCTGTGTGGGATGGTACTGGAGCACGGTACCATGACTGTGTGGACCGGCACTGGAACACGGAAACATGACTGTAAGGTCCGGTTCTGGAGCAGTGACCATGGCTGCTGGGCACGGAACAGAAGCCTGGACCCTGGCTGTGTGAGCCAGGTAATGGAGCACGGAAGCATGGCTGTGTGGGCCGGTACTGGTGCACGGATCCATGGCTGTGTGGGCCGGTACTGGACCACGAGCCGGCCTCCCGATCTTGCGTTTCTCCGAGGCCCCCTGGAGGCTCCGTGGACCTCCAAACGCCAGGCGGGATCCCAAAAAAGGGCCAGAGAATGGAGCTGGAACCACTGGAGCACGGGCTGGAATCTTGGTCTTGCGTCTCCTAGAGATTCTTTGGAGGATCTGTGGGCCTCCCCAGGCCTGGTCATACCCCAGGAAAGGGTTAGAGGCTTCGGACAAGTCCTCAGGACTACTTGTGAAAAGTTGTAGCCACTCAGGCAACATGCTCCTAAGCCAGGGCTGGCGAGCAACCTCCTGACGTGCCTCCTTCAACGCAGCCTCTCTACCACGTCTAGAAGAGGCGCCATTCCAGGTATAAAAAATGTACTCCAGAGAGTACCCAAGACATTCTGCCTGTAGAGCAAAACGATCCGAGTCTGCTGAGTCCAAAGCTGGTCGGTTCATTCTGTTAGGATGGCGTGGAAGGGTAGGACCCAAATGCAGACTATCAAAAAGGTAACAGGTCTCGTAACAAAAAGCGAGCTTTATTTTAAAAGCTGATCAAAACAAGGCATGAAACAAATGGGTTGTACAAAAAAACTGACCGTGACCCACATGGAGGGAGACAGGAGAGACAACCGTGACTGACATGGAGGAAGACAGGAAAAACCAACAATGAACCGACAGGGGAACACAGGAAGAGACAAGACTAAATACAGGGAGGGGTAATCACAAGACACAGCTGGGGTAAGAGAGGCAGAAACACAAGGGCAACAGGTGAACACAATCAGACAATCAGACACACCAGGGGAACTAATGACAGGAAGGCAAACACAGGAAGAAGGAACAGAGAAGACACAAGGAGGAAAACATTTCAAAACAAAAGGTGGAAAATGAAAACATAAATACAAAACCGTAACATGAATAGTACTGTCACCGGTGTGATCATTCTATAATACACCATTTAATTCCGGGGGAGAAATGCTAACGCTAACGTTAGCATCGGCGATCTTTTCTACTTCATGCTATCTGCACAAATGGTTGACATTAAACATTAAAACGACCAGGCAGTTCAGAGAGAATCAAAGGAAGGCAGGCAGGCAGCTTTGCATGACATTCTTCAGGACGTGTTTCATTGTGGTGATAGTCAATCGTTTGTTGACAAGACAGTAGTGACGGCCATCTTGGTGACGTGTGTGGTTGACCAGAGATGTAGTTCATTGAGCGTTTCACACAAACAAATGTGTTACTTCACAGTTTTACGACACATTTTTTTTTTTTTGACTTGCAAAATTATCTTTTAAATTGACAAACATCATATGTGTAATTCGTGGCACAATTCAAACGGGATCGAAAGATAATCTTTCTCTCTCCATTGACTTCAATACATAACTTTTCCGAAATAAGGTCCCATGGAGGTCCACCGGAAGGGGAGGGACTTCGCCACTCTATAGAGTGGCGAAGTCACTTTTCCTTATTTCGGAAAAGTTATGCATTGAAGTCAATGGAGAGAGAAAGATTATCTTTCGATCCCGTTTCAATTGTGCCACGAATTACACATATGATGTTTGTCAATTTAAAAGATAATTTTGCAAGTCAAAAAAAAAAAAATGTGTCGTAAAACTGTGAAGTAACACATTTGTTTGTGTGAAACGCTCAATGAACTACATCTCTGGTCAACCACACACGTCACCAAGATGGCCGTCACTACTGTCTTGTCAACAAACGATTGACTATCACCACAATGAAACACGTCCTGAAGAATGTCATGCAAAGCTGCCTGCCTGCCTTCCTTTGATTCTCTCTGAACTGCCTGGTCGTTTTAATGTTTAATGTCAACCATTTGTGCAGATAGCATGAAGTAGAAAAGATCGCCGATGCTAACGTTAGCGTTAGCATTTCTCCCCCGGAATTAAATGGTGTATTATAGAATGATCACACCGGTGACAGTACTATTCAAAGGGTTCACGAAATATGATTACTACTCTTACTGTTTAACATTTTGGGTTACTTAATGTTACTTCATGTTAAGGCTAATAAAAATGACAAGGCTGTAATGCTAACTAACGTGCTAGCTACTAGCTAGGTAGCTAACTTGATCAAGCCACTCCTGGTCGTTTCATCAGACGGGAAGCAAAAGAACGAGCAAGACCCATTGCTGGTATAATAACAACCTGGTACTAAGCACACAGGCATCTTGTTAAAGTTATCTTATCTTAGCCAGCGCCATATAGATAGATTATATCTATATTGCGCTGATCTTAGGTATCTGAATGGTGGAGGTAAACAATTGTGACATCACTTACGCGACTCTGGGATTTGTAGTCTTTCTAGTTACGTATTTTTCATAGTCTTATATTTCAACAGTTTTACGACAAACTGTGACTTTTTTGACATGGAAATGATTTTTTAAGATTGACAAACATCATATGTGTAATTCATGGCACAATTCAAACGGGATCGAAAGATAAGTTTTCTCTCCCCATTGACTTCAATGCATAATTTTTCCGAAATAAGGTCCCATATCCCGGAAGTAAGTGGGAGGGACTTCGCCACTCTATTGAGACGAGCCTCTGGTCTCTACCTGACCGGTCTCAACGCTGTGTGTGTCCGTCAGGAAACACGCTGTTTACAAACAGTTCCAGCAAACATCCACTGATAAATTGCGATGTTAACAACCATCATCAATCATGATAACCTCATATTTTTTTAACTTAGGATCATAGGCTACCTGTGTTTAGTCTAGAAAAAGGTAAATGTGTGCATTTTATTATAAAGTTGTGTATATTTACAGACTGTTGCAAAAACTAAGAAGCTTATAAACATCAGGTTTAAAACTAAAAGAGCTTTACAAAAAAGTAACACAATGAAAGATGTTTGGAGTTTTATTTGAGTTATTAATTTACATTTTTTGTCTAAGAGATGCTGATTTGAAACCGTTGTTACATACAGTTACGGCATTTCCTGTTTCTGCCGGAGAGAGGGGAGTTTGTCCCAAAGCTTGCCGCTGTATTTACTCCCTCCATCTGACAGGAGGGAGCCTCATTCAGCTGCGAGTGTGGCTACAGACGGAGTTCACTCCGTCACGGAGGGGTAGGGTCGAGGGAGTGGTTTGGGATTGGGCCATACTCATAGAAAGTATTGCGAGATCTCGCAAAGGGGTTTTGAGAGATCTCGCAACAAAATATTTTTGTTCTTCTCCATGTCCCCTAGGGGGCTCCGTAGTGTGCTGCTCTTGCTCTTTTTGCATATCATGTATTTATTTTTTGCTATGTTTATAAATGTCATGTTCTTATGTTGTATGTCAGGGCAGGGACGTGCACAGACATTTTGGGGGCGGGTGCTCAAGTGAGAAAAAGGCTTGCTTCCATGTTTTCTTTCACTCTAATGGAAATAAAACTTCCAAGAAATACATATAAATGGTGTTCGTTTTACTACCATGTCTGAATTAATCTATAGATTTAAAGCTAATCTGCATTTAAACACAACATTTCAGGGGAAAATACTGACTTGACATAAGTAACTATCTGGGGAAGTTGTGAGGTGATATGTTTTTTGTTTGATCCTTTTCACCTGCAATGCCTTGGTAACTGCATGCAAATTAGCACATTTTAATTAGGCCTAGTTAATGCCTAATTTGCATATCAATGTGGCGATTGTGATGACCTTATTAGATACACATTTGACTGTATTCACTTTAAGTGTCTCCCCTTAAGTACAGTACATTAGCCTGTATGCCCATGATAAATTGCCTTAGCTAAACCTTGAGCTAACTTATCCATTAGCTAGTAGCCTACCTTATTAACTATATTTGTTATTGTCTTTTAGCTAATTAGCTGTAAACTCGAGGCACTGGCAGTTTAGTAATTTGTTCATCACCAGTCACCTTCAAAATAAACCAAGAAAGTCGGCATAACATGGGACAGTAAAGTGGGAGGTGCTGCTACCTGTCTGTCTGAAGGGACTGCCGATGACTGTCCGCACCGCTGTGCAGGAGACGGGGAGGGACGGGAGGGAGGGAGGGAGGGAGGGAGAGCTACGGAACTTCACAGTCTAATCTCCCGACCTGATATTTTGTATTCAATCAATATATTTTTGGAAAGGGAAACTGTGCGCAAACAGCAGCAGATATATATTCATTTATAAAAAATAAAAAAAGGGGGGAAAAAATTGCACTTTCTCTGGAGGAAGAAAAAGGGCAGGGGCTCAAGCCCACTTTGATGTCTATGTGTGCACGTGCCTGTGTCAGGGACTACGGATGGAAATTAGCTCAAAGCTAAAATCCGGCATATTTACACTTAAAGCATTATTTGTCTTAAGTGTTCATTAATGTGCATTGTCCCTATTCAAATAAACGATTAAATGAAAAAATGAAACACTACTACTCTGCCTTCACATTTCGACAGGTTTCTGTCTTTTCCAACATTCAGGAAAAATATACTGTAGTAGGCTATGTGTTCTCAAACACACAGAACAAAATTGAAGGGGGTTTGAATGATTATTTTGTCACCAGACTTTTTGCAAAAATGAAAGATAATTGTGAGCCAGCCCATTAAAATGTTCAGATGAATGGATAAACCAATGCTGGAATGCAAGTAAAGCCAAACAAAGTCCAATGCAACTAAATCCTTCTTTCACTCCAGCTTTATCAAAGGCCTGTACTACGAAGCCGGATTTTCGCTTAGCGAGGTAACTTCAGGCTTAACTCTGGGTTTCCGGTCCTACGACGCTGGTTCACTTCTTAGCGGGGTAGATCTCCATGGTAACTTATGCTGAACGGCTAACCTGCTCCGGAGCAGGTTAGGTTCCAGGATAAGAGATCAACTCAGTGAAAGCACCGCCTGCTGACCAATCAAAGCTCAGTGTGCGGAGTTTAAAGCAATCAAGTCATATTACAGGAGAAAGGAAATACAGAAAAACTGCCGTTGCAGGAAAGACGGCCGGCAAAAATCAACTGACTGTGTGAACGTGAAAATTAATAGAATATCACCTCCCATCTTCACAGCAATCTGACTATTATAACATTAACGTTAAGAAAGCTTACTTAAATATCTGCCACAACATAAGTAACCTTTGACTCTCATTTGTTTGAGGAAGACCTACACCGTCTGGAGCTTAAGTGTCCCACATTAGGGCAACTCGCCCTAATTAAAGTCAGATCCACTCGTGTCTTAGACGGGGCAGTGATATCATAATCCTGTAAACCATAAACCATAAAACTTTTTTGTTTACCAGCTGTTCTGTATTCACCTTGCAGGTGCAGCTATGTGGCTTTTATCCTGGATAAAGTGTTTAAGTCATGGATGTTTAAAGTATAACTTCTTCATATTTGTCTAATATTATAGTTTTCTTTTCATTCAGGAACTAAGAAACCTGTCCCATTACCATGAAGAAACCTGCATAAAAAGTAACGAATATATGTTAGCATCAAGAAGAAACAGAAGGAGAAAACAAAATTCAGGTTAGTAGCATTTCTTACCTTGTGTTGCGGTCTAACGTGTTCTATCTCCTGGTCGCCTCTGACCTTTTTAAAAACTGCCAGCCCTGCTCCCTCCCCCGGGTCACAGGCTGCTGACCCCCCATTGGTCCCCCCTGTGACGCACACAAAGTAGGTGCCAACAGTCATAACCTTCATTCTTTCGCCTGAGAAACGTTGGTTCACTTCAGCGACGAGGCCCAGAGTGTTGCTGTAATTATAGCCGCTTGATTGGGGACCAATTCACAAAGAAGGAAGTAGCCAATTCATTAAGATGCTTGTGAGGAGACGAAGTCTCCGGGAGAGGGAGAGAGGGAGATTAGGGCAGTGTGTGACTTCTTTTGTCAGCGTGGCCGTCGTGAAGGTCGTCTCGCTGGGCAGACACTAACACACCTGAAAGAATGTCATTCAATCATTTATCACCAAAATCAGTCAGTCGCATCCTCAAATCAAACGACGATGTTCTGTGATGTCGTTTGTCTCCAATTGCTCGACAAAGGATCTGAAGAGTGGCGATTTCTTAAACAATTTCTATTTCATTTAGACTATTTCAGGATAGGTGCTTTTTGCTCAGGACACAAAGTTCAGTGGTGGAAGAAGGCCCTATTGTGCTGTATTGGTTTCCCTTTCCTGTCATGTGTTCTATACGTTTGTGTGCATGTGAATGGTCTGCTAAGGCTAAAATCCCAAAGTTGCCTACCTTTTTTACTTCTTTAAAGGACACCTATCATGCTATATTTAAATGATATATTGTAGGGCCATACCTATATAAGGTATATTTATACGTTTCTGTTGTCAAAATACCAAACAGATCATGCATTTTAGCCATGCCTCATTTCGCTCTATTTGCTGTTCTCCAGCACTGTTTTTGCAGGGGGCTGATTCTGTGAGCTGCAGCTGACCACGCCCCCCTGCAGGAGAGGGGAGCCGTGCTCTGATCAAGTCAGAAGAGGGGGAGAAAAATAGATCTCCGTCCTCCGTGTTTTATTATATTATTATAGGCCTATAGAGTCGTTATTCATTTGTTTTAAAGCTCAATAAATAACAAAGAAGACCTTTGACCGGCAATTTTCTAATTTTGTCCGGAAGATTTAAACTTTAACGGACATCTTGACCGGCGAAAGAAAACCTAACTGAAACTCTGCCGCACGGTCCCCTCGTTCCTTGGAAGAGGCGGAGAGGTGGGTGTTTGTCATCTGCTGGTGCAACACACTCTCACTCCCTAAGCGTCCAGGAGCGACGCTTGGTCAGGGTCCCGTGGCGTCCAGTTGTGACGCGCCGAGGCTCCTTCAGCTTCATAAACGGACGCAAAGAGCTTTCAACTGATTGCAATGTATTCCCATCGGCGGCGGTATTTGACGCTTAGGGAAGCACGGCATTCGTTTGTGTCGGAGGCTGTTAAAGGCAATGTGAGCGTCCATTCCCATTGGATAACGGAGAATTGTACACCCGGAAGTAAGTATTCCCCTTACTGTCGATTGATTTGAAAGTGATATCTCCACTACTCATCAACTCAAAAACACCAGATTATCCTTGTTAATTAAACGACATTGATAGGTTTTAGTGTGTGTACAATGCTTTTGTCACGTTTTCCCCTTCAATTCTGAGAAACAAGTCGTTTTCTATGAGTTTTGGATGGCCGAAGACATTACATTACCCACAATCTTCTGTAGCAACCATAGACTGTATACAAAAATTAAATAATACATTATTCCGAGTGTGCTTGCTTTTCTCTTTGAAAGTCATCACATAACGGCATTGTAATACACGTTTCGGCTGCATTAAATATGACATATCTGCCGTAGTTAACTCTATTATTGTCTATCTGATGACAAGACTTCTAGACAAACAGGAACTGCCGCCAAAACTGAAAACTTGACGTGGATCTTAAATATATAAGCAATTAAACAACATCTTACATTTCTTTTCACACAATACGTCTCCTTGCAGTATCAACACTAATTCGGCTGACTTTTATATTTGATCCAATTGGTAGATAGGCTGTATTTACGCCATAACGGTGCACAGCTGATAGAAAGGGACACCTACTGGTTAAAGCACGTTATTGCATTTTATAATTTTATTATTAGATATTAATAGGATCCCTATAAAGTATATTCTTTACTCGTCGCTTTAGGAAGAACGCAGCCCCGCCCGCCCCCATCACTCTGTGTGGCTCACCATCACTCTGTGTGACTCCCCAGTCACTGCTGTGGAGTCTTTCCGCTTCCTGGGCACCATCATCGCCCAGGACCTCAAATGGGAGCAGAACAGCAGCTCCCTCATCAAAAAAGCCCAGCAGAGGATGTTCTTCCTGAGGCAGCTGAAGAAATTCAACCTGCCAAAGACGATGATGGTGAACTTCTACACCTCCATCATGGAGTCCATCCTCCCCATCTCCATCACCATCTGGTACGCTGCAGCCACAGCCAAGGATAAGGGCAGGCTGCAGCGTGTCATCCGCTCTGCAGAGAAGGTGATAGGCTGCAATCTGCCATCCCTCCACGACCTGCATGCCTCCAGGACCCTGAGGCGGGCAGGAAAGATAGTGGCCGACCCCTCCCACCCTGGACACAAACTGTTCACCCCCCTCCCCTCTGGCAGGAGGCTGCGCTCCATCAGGACCAAAACCTCTCTCCATCAGGACCAAAACCTCTCTCCATCAGGACCAGAACCTCTCTCCATCAGGACCAAAACCTCTCTCCATCAGGACCAGAACCTCTTTCCATCAGGACCAGAACCTCTCTCCATCAGGACCAAAACCTCTCTCCATCAGGACCAAAACCTCTCTCCATCAGGACCAAAACCTCTCTCCATCAGGACCAAAACCTCTCTCCATCAGGACCAGAACCTCTCTCCATCAGGACCAAAACCTCTCTCCATCAGGACCAAAACCTCTCTCCATCAGGACCAAAACCTCTCTCCATCAGGACCAAAACCTCTCTCCATCAGGACCAAAACCTCTCTCCATCAGGACCAAAACCTCTCTCCATCAGGACCAAAACCTCTCTCCATCAGGACCAAAACCTCTCTCCATCAGGACCAAAACCTCTCTCCATCAGGACCAGAACCTCTCTCCATCAGGACCAGAACCTCTCTCCATCAGGACCAGAACCTCTCTCCATCAGGACCAAAACCTCTCTTCATCAGGACCAAAACCTCTCGCCACCTCAACAAGGCCCCCCCACTGACACTTAACTTCATCCACAACGCAGACTCTATGCATTACATAATGGAGATCACAGGATGGTAAATAATGCAATGTTTAAATATTGCTTACTGCACATATTTTATATTCTATAATTTATTGCATTCTATTTCGATGTATATTACTGCTTTATTTTATTGTAATCTTATTCTATCTTACTATATTTTTATTACAGTGTTCTTAATATAGTTCGCTATCTGTGTACTTTTTTTTATTTAATTTTTTTATTTATATGTATAAACACCTAGTCAAATTCCTCATACGTGTGAACCTACCTGGCAATAAACCTGTTTCTGATTCTGATCTTTTTGTCCTCTAGGTTGCACTGCCACGTCTATAGTAGTGCAGAATGGACAGAGGAAACATGATTGGGCCTCAAGTTTTTTGCAGCCAATATACATTCTACAAACTTGGGATAGGAGGGTGAGTGAACAAGTTATCCATTGGTTGGAACCTACATCCCCATTGTTAGACGTACTAAATCCTGCACACTGCTCCTTCAAATTGACAATGTGAACATAATGTTGCCATTTTGTAATTTCTGTTATTTTCAGTTGAGAATGTTTCAAAGTACTCTTAAAAAATTCAACTTACTTTTTGTTTCTACTGTTTATAAGTATGATGTTTAAATATGAAATGCTGTATTCATTAGTTGTACTATAATTCTACAAATATTTTTATATTTTAAGTTTTCAGAGTAATTGTTTCCTACAGAACATTTTGTGATTTTATTGAACCTGTTTGATTGGAAAATGTTAGAAAAAAGCTGTAAAATAACAGTATTCTACCTGTAGAACTTTAGGTTCTGTATTTATTTTAGTGTTTGATCATACAAATCTAATAAAAAAAAATGTAAAAAACTGTTTTTCTCATCAGAACTTTATTTAAGGTATTTGAATGTAACATTTTAAGACAATGGATTTTGAAAAGAGAGGAAAGTTTCCTCTAAAATCTTTAAGGACAATTTCTGTATACTAATTGCTTTTGCACTGTATTTCAGTTAAAGTATTTTTACTTTAATTTTATGGTTTTTGTTTGGCAGCCGCTGCTGCCAGTCATTTGACCGTTTTTTTACAGGTTTTTTGCCCGAAGTTTTTTTTTTTTTCTTTTTTCTAGAAGTTTTAGTGCTGTACTTTTATTAAAGGTTATTGACTGTAAAAAGAGCAGATAAATCTGTAAAATTACAGTGTTTTCCTGTAAAATCTTTAAGGACAATTCCCGTAAATTAATGGCTTATTCACTTTATTTCAGTTAAAGTATTTTACTTTAATTTAAGGGTTTTTGTTTGGCAGCCGCTGCTGCCAGTACTTTGACCGTTTTTTTACGAGTTTTTTTTTTACAGTGCAGTAACATACTGTAATATCACAGTAATTCCTTAGTCATTGAAGCTGTGAAGTTACAGTATACAGTTTTAACTTTACAACAATGCATTGTAATATCATGGATGTGAAATTACAATACATTGCTGTGAAGACATTCACAGCAATGTATTGTAATATCATGGATGTGAAATTACAATACATTGCTGTGAAGACATTCACAGTAAATTGCTGTGAATCTTACTGTGAAAGTCATGCAAAATTTGGCCAAGTATTTATTGTGAATTCACAGTGAATATTTTTACAGTGTACGTAAAAGTAGCATAACCATGTTATAAAAGATACTCCTTAAAAGTACAAGTCCCGTATTCAAAATGACATTTGTTAAGTAAGCTTACAGTACAAAGAATGAAATGTAAAATTGGAGGTCAGTGTTCAACTATTATATAGTTAATCAACTCAATATGTAATGGATTAGCCCAAGCATGTGGCGCACAAAAAGAAGACTTAGGAAATGTGGGAAAAATCTTCTTGATTTATTCACCGAGTACAGAGACTTTTTTCATACAGGAAGCAGAGAAGAATCCTAAAACAGACACATCTGATTTAAATACATGTACTAAGTGTTTGTTGTTGGGGAAAAAACACATACACCTTCAAAACAAGAGTACAAAAATTAAGAAATACTTAGTCCATATTGATGTTTAGAACAGTTTGACAAAAAGAGCTTTCAAGGTCTACATGCAAGTTTACATTTGTTTCATCAGGGTCATGTGAACCTTGCAGAAGTGCAGTATTATTCAGATCCTTTACTTAAGTACTAATAGTACACTAAAACCATAAAAAATATGCATTGAGGTAAAAGTATGGAAGTATTTTCCGTGAAATATACTGCAAAACGAAGTGCAGTTTTTTTACTTTAATACATGAAGTTTCTGGATGTCTATGTTGCATTTGAACTCTAACATCAGCATATGTTGGTGGCTTTATCAACTTTTTACGAGTTTTGAGAAAAACTGCCTTCTTTTTAGTTTTTACTATAGCTTTATTGAGCTTAGAAGAAGAAGAAGTAGAGAATTTATTATTTAAAGTTGTAATCCTTAAAACATTTAAAATATTATTTATGGTCTGCTTTTTTTGCAATTACCAGTGGTGGAATAAGCACTTTTAACTTTTCACAATTACTACTTAATTTATATTTATATGAATTAATATAAGTTTATCAATTGCGCCAATCTTAGATACTGTTATTACTGGGTATATAAGTAGTATCTGCCTCACGTAAGTAAACCATTTTTTATTTAAAAGGAAACTAAAGTCTTAATTGTCAAATAAGCTTGCAGAGAAAAGTTCACTAATATGTTCCTCGGTAATTTAATCGAGAAGTACTAAGTAGTTATGAAAGGAAGTATTCAAGTAGAGTACAAATGAAGTCAGGTACCGCTGAGTAAATGTACTTAAATGTTAGATTACATTGCAGGAAATACACTGAAAACATTTCAACGTTGACTTTAATTTAAGGTATTATGTGAACAGATTTTACATAATTGTATTAGGTTAGATGAAAGCATAATACTAAGTTAAAATAAAAAGGTAATAGGTTCAACTACATATTATTGCTTTCAACTATTACAATTATGTTTAATCTGATGACCTGATACATTGAATTAAAGTCATCATTTCAATTTTTTTAGTGTAGCTTTTCAAATCTGTTATGTAATTATCTCCCACACTAGTTGTATTGTTAGCGATGGAGACTACAATGTCTTCTCACACATGTGTGTCATTTACTGTGAACAATATCTGCCCCACTGTTTCCTCTCCTACAGACTTAGTTACTGCTGATATAAACCCAACATGTTCTGCTGATGACCTGTTGCTTCACATCAGAAGAAAGAAAAGATGAAATCTTGAGGATTAAAAAAAAAAAAAAAGAGTTCCTTGACGTTACTCACAGTGTGGAGGTCTTGTAACGTCTAGCAGAAATGTGGTCTAAAAGAACTATCTGAGTCCACCTCTGCCTCTGCTCTTTCTGCCTCTCCAAAGTCCTCGTAAGCCTCCAGTGACGAGACACACCCTGGTGCACTCTGGGAATCGTAGTCCAGGAAGAAGGCGGGGTTTTGCAGCTGGCTGGCGGCAGGGCTGAGCGGCGGCTCGTTGAGCGGGGCGGTGAGCAGAGACAGCTGCAGCTGGTCAATGGTGCTGGTGGAGGAGAAGGGCTGTGATTGGTCAGGAGGGGAGCAGGCCCCGGGCGAGGAGCCGCTCGACATGCTGAGGCCCCTCGGGGGGGCCGAGGGCGAGCTCACCTGAGAGTCGTCTGCAGTGAGGGTGCGCCTCAGTTTGGCTCGAGCATTCTGAAACCACACCTAAGAGACAGTGTTTGTGTTTACAGGTAAACAATGTGTGAAAGAAGAACACATATTTGTTAAGTAAGCTTAAATGAAGTATAACAAATCAGTTTTTAAACTGTTTATTTGAACTAACATGTCGTCATTTTACAACACATTTTGATTATAAAAACATGTTACTGTTTGCAAATAACATTTAATTTTATATATATTCTTTTATTTTATTGCCATTTTTTTGTTTTATTCGATTTTTTGTGTTATTTGATTACATTACTTTTTACCATGTTTATTTTTAGAATTTGTATTTGTCGTTAAACAGTTTATATTCATGATACTTGCCTGTTTACATTTCGTGCACTAGGTATTTGGTTTTTGCATTCTTCTTGTTAATATTGTGTTCTGTTTGCACTTTTTTCCAGTTTTGCATTTCTCTGCTAGAACCAAGAAGTTGCTCTATAAATGTATACAAGTATTTGTATTTAGTAATAGGTTGTCATGAACCAGACTTTCCACTGCAATCGATGCACAACAAGGGAAATTATTTTTTATAATGCTCTTATCTATTCTATTTTTGTTCTCATATTTTTTTAGTTCCAATAAAGGATCTCAGGGGGAAATTGTTAGCGTACTGGAAATGTACAATAAAAACAGTCTTAGAAGCAGCTTCGCATTAAAGCTGAAACTCTGAAATATTTAAAGCAGCGACGTGCAGTCAGTGGAGGCAGGGGAGGCAGAGCCTCACCTGTCATACTCCAATGTAACGGAAAAACAACTAAAGAAAAACTAAATAGTAATAATAATAAAATGTCTCCACTGATCTTGTGTAAATGTGATTTCTGTATGATTCCAATCGCTTTTTATAGTCAAAATCAGCAAATTTGCCGAGCTCCGCTACGGGAGCGATGACAAGTGAGGCAGGGACGAGCTCTGCCTCTCGTAAGCCCACAGTAACTTGCTGGAGCGCGGGCACTAATTTAGCGCGGGCACTTATTTTGTGAGTGCGCTCAAGCCAGTTACTGTGGGGTGAGGTGAGGCACAGATGAGCTCTGCCTCACCTCAGAATGCGTCACCCCACATAAACTGTCTGGAAAGCAGGCCCTAAGCGCATGCCTGTTACCATCTCACTGTAGGTCACCAATGTAATGTTTGTAGATCCCTTTATTACATTTATCCTCACCATCCATAGTCTCTAAATAACTTATTTCACGTATATATGATATTTAGGCTCGCTGGTCTCATCGTACAACGGCAATGAAAAAAGCACCAGGAGAGGCAGCCATAACCTCTGCCGCACTGAAGGGGGCGCACGTGAGCCCACAGGTTCTTGTTGCTACTGTTATTCTACGCAGAGACGGTAGACGCAAACAACAAACTAGACTTTTGAAACTACAGGAAGATAAGGAGGAAATAGAGATTGTCCAGAAGGATAGCATGGACTTCATCTTCAAGTCAAGGTAAGACCACAATTGTAATGAACATGGGATCTAACTAAGAAAGAACAATCCAATATTTAGATTTGGGGTATCCTTTTGTTGAACGATCTGTTTAAAATGAATCGAAGCATCAGACTAAAAAAGCTTTTGAAAATAACCGAATATTTCGATTAAGGTCAAAATATAATATTTGTAAATCTGACTCTGAAAGTGCCTCACCAGCCATGAACCTCACCGCACGTCACTGATTTAAAGTACATATTTCCTACCTGCAGGACCCTCTTGGGCAGGCCGGTCTTCTGAGCAAGGAAGTTCCAGTCTTTTCCGTCAGGGTTGTGTTTGTGTGCGAAGTACGACTCCAGTGCTCTGAGCTGCTCGCTGCGGAAACACGTCCTGATTCGCTTGTTCCGCCTGCGGGTCCGCCCACATGCCACCTGATCATCCAATGGTGGCTCAGGACTGCTGACAGACTCCTCCCCTTCACCTGAGACCTGATTTTGAGCTTTTTCACACACACAAAACACACACACACATCCATTATGTTGTGCTTCAATTCTGTGCAAATCTATTATCTAAGGGGCGCAAGACATGATCGTTAAAAACACGATTAATTAACGATGAACTTTTATTTATGCTTTTTGATTGCCATATTCATTTAGTTATTTGTTTTTAATGCATTTAATTCGTTGTGTAGTGTTGAGAAGGGTGAAAAATGGAACAATGTCATTTTTATATCACTCATAAAATATACTCGAAAGCTTTACAAAGTGTGTAAAACATAAAGATGTCATAGTCAAATATATGTATGCAATAGCTATATAACAGGATGTATAACATACAAATCCTTATATGGATCTGGCCCTTCCTACATCCAGGACATGGTTAAACTGTACACCCCAGCACGTGCACTCCGCTCTGCATCAGCCAAACGGCTCGCTGCACCAGCACTGCGAGGGGGACCCAAGTTCCCATCAGCAAAAACACGTGGGTTTGCTATCCTGGCTCCAAAATGGTGGAATGAGCTCCCCATTGACATCAGGACAGCAGAAAGCCTACACATCTTCCGCCGCAGACTGAAAACTCATCTCTTTCGACTCCACTTCGAGCAATAAAATTACTAACAAAGAATTGCTAACAAAGCACTTATATACTAATGAAGGACTGGCGTATCTAAAGCCAGTTGAGTAGCACTTGATGTACTTATATGATTCTGTTTTCTTCAAGTTTGTATCTTCTTGGTCGAATGCACTTATTGTAAGTCGCTTTGGATGACAGCGTCAGCTAAATGCAATGTAATGTAATATGGGTGCTTTTAAAGGCCTATGTAGCAAAGTATGCACTTCCTCTTTCGAGGAGATGAACATTCTATTTACGCACTTCCTCTTTCGAGGAGATGAACATTCTATCTACGCAGGGCCGTCCCTCCCTACAGGCCGATCATGCAGGCTGCATGGGGCCTCACATTGCGCAGGGGGCCTCGTGCATGGGGCCTTGGCTTATGAGCTCGGCTTGTGCGCAGCTCTCAGCGCAGTTCTCCGGCGCAAGCAAGAGGGAAACAAAACATAAAGAAACTAGAGCATCACTCGAAGGTGGGTTATTGTATGAGTCAAATGTACAACTTGCGAATGTTGTATAAGTCAAATGTCAAACTTTTGCCAATTGCCATATAAAAAAATCAGCTGCATTTCACGACATGAAGAAGGCAGTCTCTGCATAGCATATAGGCTAATTGAGATGCAGTTATTTCCAGCATTATTTATTTACCATTCATTCAAGTATTTTATGCCTGTTATCTGCTAATGTACATAACAGTTACAGCCCAGTTTACAGCCTAAAAAACATGGAGCATTTGTTTCCCTTTTATTCATTTTTATGTCAATTTGCACATTTCATGGTGATGCTCAGCCTCTCCCCTTAACTCCTAACAGTCATCATCATGTCAACAACAACACAGAGAAATACTGATAGAAATGTGTGTGTAGTTGTTGATACATTGCTGACAGAGGGAACTACATTTGAATACAGATTTAAGAAATATCAGTTGTTGAGCATGTCATAAGCATGTTTTGTCTTGACTATATTACAACTATATTATAATAAAATAATATAGTATTTATATTATTGAATTGATTATGATTATGATTATTAGTAGAAGTAGTTTATTTGCATTAATTATATTTTAATCTTTTTGAGGCTAGTATTTGGCAGGAAATGCAGACGTACAGTATTCACCTGTAAACGCATACTGAACGACATACATGCACATTTACCATTTACTTTACAAAAAAGTAACTGTGTTGATAATAATAATAAACAGGACTTATATTTGCAAAGTACTTTGTTTCCAACACATTTTTTTTCACTCCTGTCGGTGGGGAAGGGGGGGGGGCCTCATCTCACAATGTCGCTTGGGGCCCCAAGTTGGCCAGGGACGGCCCTGTATCTACGCATTCCCTTTTAAGGAGTGAACATTTAACCACAAAGCAACGAAGAAGAACGCCTCTGACGCACGAGCTTGCACGCACAGGATGTGACAAACCACGTGACAAAAGGGGATATAAGAAGACTGAAGAACATTGGAACGAGAGTTCCTCTTGCAAAAGACTGAACTAACTAGGTTCTTCTTGAAAAAGACTGAACAATCTGGCTTACGCCAATTAGGTTCGATATAGAAAATATATCCGAGCAAAACGTATCTATTATTTTGTGTGGTGTGATATAACTTGTAAAGCGTATAAATAAAACAGCCTGTTCACACTTGTGAAAGGAAACTAAAGATCCGCATAGGCCTCTGATTATTACTGAACAAGTAACAAATCAGCGGAAATGTAGCCCGTCCCCACATAGTTTGAGTCCTGAGTCCAGTTTGATTCCAGTGTCCTGTCTCCTTGCTTGAGGGTCAATCCCTGACTGAACACTGCAGTCTCCCAGAGATAACAGCTGGTAAGTGGCACCTGGTCAACTCTGTTGCAGAATTATAGTAAGTCATATTGGAGGTCGCCAGGATCGTTTGATCTGAAATATGGCAGCAGTGCTTTACGGGTATTAAATCCCAAAGGTTTCAGAGGTGTGTTCATTAACAGGTGACAATCTAAAGGGATAAACTAACAGGGAAGTATAAATAAGTCATGTAAATTGATGAATGGAGGTAGTATAGAAAGAAGGGAGTTTATCGGTACCTCGTGGTGTGTGTGAGGACACACCTTTTATGCCCAGACTGAGTAAAAACCGTATCAATCAACAGTAGTAATTTCAGCTTGTTTGATCATTATTTAATTTATTTTAACTTTATTCGATAAACTTCTGTATTTATTTATAATTTGTGTTTTTATTCAAGTTTTATGGATTTATTTTTAATAGTATATATTTCAGCATTTGTTTCTGTCTTTATTTTTTGGTACCCGCCATTCTGCAGTGATTTAGAGATAAATGTAGCAAAAGACACACTCACACACAGCTGAGGGTCACGGTGTCTGTGAACGCAGCGGAGCAGCAGCTCAGCGGCCTGCAGGGCTCCACCACCTACACCGTCACCATCAGCAGCCAGCTGGGCAGCAAGGAGAGCTCAGAGGCCTCCACCAGCTTCACCACCACCTCAGGTCACACACACACACAAACACACACACACACACACACACACACACACACACACACACACACACACACACACACGCCTCTCACCTTCTTTCAGATTTGGTTTGGGCTGCAGATCGTTTAATGGCGGCACACTCCTGCCGTCGTCATGGTAATGGGACTGACAGTAGAGGTTGTGGCCCTGAATGCAGTACAGGTTCCCGGGTATTAATGTCACATCACACTCCTGAAAAACATGTTCATCATTAATATATCTTAAAGAACTAAAGAGAAATAAATATATATAACACTGAATCTTATTCATCTTTAGGGTAAACTGTTGCACATTATGTTTCTTATTGCAGAAAGTTGTTAGGATTACAATCCACAAACACGTTTTACATTTGAATAAAAACATTAAATTCATCCAAATGTGTCATAATGTTTCTGTAAATGTCTCTTATTAAAGTACCTGGCAGGAGAAGCAGTGAGGATGGAAGGTCAGATCACCTGACCTCATGACCAGATCGGAGGCCGGGATTGGCTGGAAGCAGCGAGCGCACTGCCCGCCTCCAAACATCCTGAGGAGGAATCAAAGGTCAAAGGTCAGGAGATACCAACAGACCCCATCACAGGCTCCTTCTGTAGTCTGACTCTCAGTTGAATGAAGCTCCTTCCTATGAGGTGGAATGTGTGAATACAGCAGCAAGCTCTGAGACAAACGCCGTTTCCACAGCAGAAACAGGAAGTGTTAATATTGTTCTTAACCATAGATTCAAATCACTGTCTCTAATAACATAACAACAAATAAGTATAACATATAATAACTCTTTAGTGTTGTTTCTTTTTTTTGAACCACTCTTTTCATAATTTGTCTTTTATCATAAATGTTCTATTGCAACAACAGCTTACAATTCACAACATAATACAATACAAGTTGCAACACTTTTTTGGATTTATCCTATCCCAAAATAGTAATATCCCTATAGATATAAACAATGTAGAAGATCACTCTTTTCATTATTAAATGTAATGTTTATGAGCGGCTTGGCTTTTTACCCAGTCCCTGTAAACCTACAAAACTTTACAATCATGCTGAACACTGGTACCGTTTCTAGACTTGATTGTAAGTTAAAAATCAAATGTGACTTCTAAATTGTTAACATCTGTTTTTTTGCATCTTATTTTGTGTTTAGTTTATTAGTAAAAGTTTGCACAGAGCTATTTGTACATGTACTATTTTGCACTTAGTCAGGAGGTACATTAGTCGGGACCGACATAGACTAGCTATTGAAGGGTTTAAACTACTTTAACTGCCCACTATGGGTTTGGTACAGCCCCTAATGTGGCGGACCCTCGTTGCAAACATCAATTTGATAAGCTAGGCTTTTTTGATAAAGCTTATAGGCTCAGGATTGATTTGATGGAGGGAGCGGTTTCTGTTCACCTGCAGTAGTCCTGGTGGCAGTAGATGTTCCCGTCTCTGCAGTACAGTGAGGGGTGTGTCTGCAGCTCGCAGTGACACCGGCTGCAGCGCAGGCACACGTCGTGCCACACACTTCCTGCAGCCAACAGGAAGAAGCGGTCACACACCTGCTCGCTGCAGCCGGCACACGTCAGCGGCTCCTGGAGGGACACAGTTGTCTGAGAAGGATGTTTGGTTAGTTACATTGCTGGAGTTGAGGCTTCTTACCTAAAACTAAGATGGTGGACAATTGGTATTGAAATGATGGCTGCAACGCTATTTCTATATTTTTTCTTATTTTTTAGGTTCATTGTTTCTTCTATAAACTGTCAGACAATAGGGTCAATCTTCAACAATATTATATCATATGTAATATATTATATATTATATAAAATAGAGCAGGACATCTTATATTTTAAAGGTTAAAAACAGCAGGTTACAGCTCTACCTTTAATTATTTAAAAACAATATTTATCTAAAGAATGTTGACTTGACCTTGCTTATAGCCTGTCTTTATGATAGTAGATTTTTCTCTGGGCTTCTCTGGGTGTTTTGTTCTGTGTTTATTCTTTACTTTATTAATGTATTTCCTTATATTGTGTTATGTTAATGAATGCACTTAAAAATGAAGTATACTACCCACAATTAAATAAACACCAGCAGGTTGAGATACGTGGTTCTCACAGGCAGCAAACAAGCTACACACATAGGATGATCTAATATACTGTAATAATTCATTTACATAGATTAAACTACCTAACACAGTTAACCTATGTAGTTAAAATGAGCATGGCTGCACCTAACGATTCGTTTTATTATCGGTTAATCAAAATCTCAGTTTTCTTATATCAAACCCCCTGAAATGTTGGCTTCAACTGATTAGTTTAATTATTTAATTAATTTAATTATTTTAATTATTATTTGACTCATCTGCTGATAATTGACCATTTATGGCTTGGCCTATAAAATGACAGAAAACTGTTAACATTTCTACAGTTTTAAAGGCCAATTCAATTCAATGTTTTGTCAGTCAAAACCCAAATATACTCACTTTAAAATAATATGAAACAGAGCAAAGCAGGAAACGTCAACATATTCGGGATTATTGAGATGGCTCTAAGCACAACCTTAACATTTACAGCTGTAAAATGCAGATAGCACATTAATGTAGTAGGTTTACTTATCCATTAAACATATAATAGTAAAACACTGACAGGCTTTTACTTGTAGTGGGAGTATTTTTACATTGTGTTAATTGTACTTTTACTGCAGTAGAGGACCTGAACATACTCACGTTGTCTGCAGCAGCGCTCTCCTTCGTCCCCGTCTGGCCCCCGCTCAGCTCCGCTATATCCGCACGGTCACCAAGGTCACCAAGGTCACTGCCGTACAGCAGCTCCTCCAGGGCCCGGTCGTCTGCAGACATCATGATTGTCCTGAGGAGGAGGAGGGGTAATAATCAGTCCACTTGGTAATCACAGCCGTCATTAGAGAACTAATAACACACACACTTAATGTCCCTATTAATAAACAACAACAACAACGACATCCAGACCCAACTGAAACTAGTGTGACAAGGCTGTTCTCTTTCTGTGAAATGTGTTTACTTATGTTTCGTAAATCTTTGGTGGTTATATACAGTATGTAAGAAAGCTTTACAGTTGCATACTATACGAACTGTAGATGTTCACAACCACCAGACTGACTTCCACAATTAAAGACTGTCAACCATTTTGAAATGTAAAGACTCACCATTTGGCAAAATTGAATTTAAATTAAACACTTTCCACACATTTTTACATTATTACACTGGCTCACTCAATCTTCATTTCCAGTGTATTACTAGTTTGAAGACTAAATAGTTTAGAGTCTCTATCATTTTTGGACTGTCTCTCCATCTCTTCAATATTACATGTATCAACAGTTGGGAAAACTCGTTTCTGAACATTCCTGAAATAAAAATACTTTTAAATCTTGATTTCTTAAATTAGATGTTGTGCAAATAATGTTTATACTGATCTTTAATATTAAAGCTCAATGTACAGATCGGAAAGCTGTTTACTATTGCTTTTTAAGAAGTTTAAATGAACAGAGAAACAAAAAACGAGGTATAAATGAATATTAGGATGGGGTCAACATATTCTGATCATTCCATAGGGGTATGAGTGCTGTTACCTAATATAAAGATTATTTATATTTCACCAATCTTGAATTCATTAGTGGTAAAAATGTGTTGAGATATTCAGTAACAGCAAGACAGTCACTAGGATCTGTGTTCATCAACAAACTAAACACTTCTGACAAATCCGAAAAAGTGAAAAATCCAAAATGCAAAAGTGATGTGATAAAAATATAGATGTACTCAGTCCTTAGCTGCTACTTTAGTTTTTCCACTGACATAAACATGTCATCCTTTTTCAATCAAATCAAAGAGGATCTAAATATTGAGATGAAAGAATCAAAGGTTTATTTGTTTACACTACTGAGCCTATATTGGAATGAATAGCTAAATATTTAGCTATAAAGAATAACGATAAGAAATAGGGTAGAAATAAGAATATAAAAGATACAGATTTACTGTTGACAGTGGGTCAAACAAAACCAGACATTTAAAAACTGTAATTGGCAGTTTTCACCCTTTTTTTGTAGGTAAATAAGTAAAAAAGAATTGCATCCTTTGCCTTTTTCACCAAGGTAGAGCGAGGAAGGAGGAGATAAAAAAGTTCTTACCTTGTCTCTTGTTGGTCTCCACTGAGGGAGCTCCGTGTGAACCCTTCAAACGACACCAGAAGATCTCACCTTTCCGTTAGAGTGTGCACAGACTGTGTGAGAATCAAACTTTTTGTTGCCCTCCCTAATGTCTTCTTTATTGTCTTGATCTTGTGGTTTTGGGATCAGATTCCTCTCTTTCCTGTGAGAGCTGACCTGAGATCTGCTCCACATCATCCTCCACCAATCACAGCCCGAGCACCTGCACTGACCCCACCCCACTGCCAGTCCCAGATGACCCCCCGGCATACACCTGTAAACAAGAGGCGCAGGTGGCTCAGAGGGCTGGTAGAGAATGATCTGATTGGTCGCCAGATGGTTTGAGGGGGGGGCGGTGCACCCTAGGGACCAATTAAAAAAAACAAAGGGTGTTTAAAAGGACGTCTGGGATTTGCACTCGAGCATGAAAAGACAACGACAAGAGCTTTTCCCCCGGTCCCTCGGCTGTGTTGGACCTAACTGGTTTCTCCATTTCAAATGTTTCTCCCGTTTGATATCAACCATAGAGGCGAACATTTGATTTAATTTGCTTTTGTGCAAAATGAAGACTTAAAGGAATAAAGGAAGGAATAAAGGATATCATCCCATTTATTCACAATATAAATTGACTTGAAACCCATTAGAAAGGGAAACACAAGATTAATGTAACAACAATCATAACACTGTACAGTACCAGTAAAAGTGATTTTCATAAAATGTTAAGAGCCTGAAATCAAACTCATTTGGACACATTTTTGAAACCTTTGATGACCTGTCTAAACTAAAACCATTAGATCCAAATATGCTGAATTAAAAAAACGTTTCAACCATGTACAAAAGTTGAGGCGCTGCTGGCAAAAAAAACATTATCATTCTGTCTGAAGTATTTAGATATACGACATGATGTGCTTTTTAGTCCACGATCAAACGTACATGAGTATAGCAGCATTAAAGAACAAAAGATGACACAGAGGAACCTTCTGAGCAGATGATTTAGTGCTCTTCTATCTTTTTCTGGATCTCCATTTTGACTTTTCTTTTGACAAACCTTCTCATCCTTGAAGACAGCATAACAGCTGATAACTTGTGTGTACGAAGCATAAGTGCTGGTTCTAACATAGACAATAATTAGCCAGAGGGAAAATATTGTTTTACCAATGTGATGTAAGATAGTATAAATGTCTTTGAATGTGTGGATGCTACACTTTAGCAGTCTGAAATGTTTCTAAAACTTCTGCTCATATTCATTTCTGATGAAAGCATTGACTTATAATCATTAATAAAGCCTCACTCAAATCAAAGCTCTGTCTTTGGGACCAGGGCTGTGAACCATGGAACCCCGGAGCCGGTTTTGGGGGCTAACATTTTGGGATGGTGCCTTTCCACCAGCTGACTGTAGAATTGTGAGGCATTGCACAAAGATCTTTAAGAGGAGGGAAGGTCTGGCTGCAAACTGGAAGACACTATGTGATTTATATTGCAATAATAATACTGAATGTTGGCTTGCAGTAGATAAATATAATACTTAAGTACAATTTTAAGTAATGACTTGTACTTAAGTGTGATATTTTCTTGCTCCAGTACAATTGTTATACAACTCTTACCGACTGGTAACTTTGGTTTTGGAAACTACAATCAACTAATAATAGGGTAGGCTACTGTACACAACTCAGTAATGCAACAATAACCTGCAAATAATAACCTTACTTTTCCAACAAGGGACATTTTTGCACGAGTGATTTTAGTTACTTTTAAGTACATGATGCTATTTCTTTAAAGGTAACTTTAAAAGTAATAGTAGCTACTCGCAGAACGAGTAGTATTTTTTATCCACCTTTAAGTCATGTTGGGTTGTATTTTGCTAATGATACTCATTATTTAATATGATGAGATAAACATTTACGATTTGACATGTTACTGAGTACTTTTAGAATGTAAATTGCTACTTTAAAATATCTTTTAACAATGCCGTTAACATGTGGAGCTGCATGCTAGCACTTCAAGTTAACTTTAGCCCCTTGGCTAGCTAATAGCATAACATTTAAATACGACACATTAAATATCACAAGAAACATACTATATGACGTTATAGTAACTCATTATATTAGTCTTTCCTAACACATGAAGATGTTATTAACATATTGGTGGAGTTTATTCAACTTTTCAGCTTAATATGATTGAAAATATATCAAACTAAATAAGCCAAAGCTAGCAGCTAAACTAGTTTAACGTTAGCTTTTTTAATTTGAGATAACAGAGACAAATATTATTATTTTATTAACTCATCAAAATGAACTCCTCATTTACCAGGTAATTTACAACATTAAAGAGTATAAATATGTATTGAATAGGCCTTTCTGCATAATTATTAACGTTAGATTTGTTAAATTATACTTTTATGCTTTTACTTCAACATTTGAATGCAGCACTTTTTATTGTAAGCACTTCTTCATGGTAGGCCTATTAGAAAAGTTACAGAAATAATAATACAATTAATACGAATAATAATACAAAAAGGTCCTCATATATAATTTTTCCCCAACTATGTTGCCTAATTAGTATTTTATGAAAAAGTTATTAGCCCATGCAGCTTTCAACTTTAATTATTTATTTATTTGAAGGCTTTGCAACACTACATGATAGTAAAACATGGAGATATTTACCTAAAGACAACGAAGACGTACAGACTCAACTCTCCATCACTTACCTGCTTGTAGTCTGGGTTGTACTGTAAACTAGGCTATTTCACAAAAGGGCCACAGTGCATCTGACATATGTTACAAAAAGCAGCAGGGGGCGCTGTTGAGCTTTATATCATGAAGAGTTTCTAGGCTTCAAAACTCAAACCAGATCCTCTTGTTTGGTTTCATTTCAGGTGGATTTGATCAAAAATGCCTAAAACACATTTGCAGAACTTGTGAGGTAAACACATAATGTAAATATTTTTTCTTTTAAGCCACAGAATGAAGTCAAACATACCTTGAGCTCAAAACAATTATTTATTTCCTGAATAGTAAACATTTTGCAGAGAAAAGGATTTTACACGACCAGCGGCCAGCAACAAGATATAATAATGATTCTGTATTTTACTGCATGTATAACTCTTTGAAAACTGGCTGATATTTATTTACAAAACACATACAAAAACACTGAGAAGTTGTAGTTGTGGTACATAATTCTAAAAAACTAAATGTGGTTAAAGTGCTGAAAACACCAGATAGTACATATCACATGATGAAAAAGTGATCCTGCATTAAATGTGAAGTTTCAAATGTCTCAAAAGGTCAGCACACAAAACCAAAACTACCCTCTTGGCTTGAAAATATATAACCGTTCAAAAAGTGGATAATCAGATTTTTCTTTTTTCATATTGGGCCTTTTAAATGTAGATACAATCAATATAAGTCAGACGCCAAATGTCATTTTTGTATTTGAAACAATTTCGGCCCCATATGATATAAAAGGAAAATGTTCCAAGCAAAGGGGACCCTCGATTATTATTGAAGCACAACGGTGCAATTGGGTTCTAAATATAGAGTTATCATTCTTCAGGCTACCTGCAGGCTACTCAGTGGTTACATTGAAGAGGATTAAAATGTGATTTGTTATTCTTTGATATCTTGAGCTGATAGTCCCTGTTCCAGTTACAATAGAGAGTGGTACAGTGATGGCGTTTTTTTGTAGGCTCCCTCGACAAAAAGCAAAGGGATTTTTCCACTGGAGTTTTGAATTTTGTAGATAACAACATCTTTGGCAAACACACGTTTATGATACCGTAAACATTTTTTTCAACAGAATAAACTCCAGCGCAATTGGCAGAAGTAAAAAGCTAATATTATGTTATAAACGAAACTACGTCACATGATTTCACGTTACCACCGCTAAGCTAAAGGCGGCTAATGTTTGTTTACAAAATGTGAAGCTTGTGTTAACCGCTGACCTTATTTCAAGCATTGAACCAAAAACATAAAAACTGTTGACTTCAAGAAAAAGGAACTGCATGTGGTATAATGCTAACTCATTTCTGTGTATAAGGACTCATTCCTGCTCAACCATACAGACCTTCTCCTGGCACTCTCCGTGCGTACTTATCATTCATTTCAAACATCATCCGTCACATGCTGATGTGATCCAGATGCCTGTGTTCTTTGAAAACGTGTGGGCCTGAAGAGCCCTTTTAAGATTACATACTGAGATGTAGAACAAATGTTGCTTAAAGTTTAACCTGATGCTAACCCGTAGCATCTGTAACTTAGCCTTGACGTTAACGTTAGCTCACGAGTCACGACAGCAGCCATTTTCTCTCCATCACTAGCTGCATAGCCTTTCACTAAGGGATGTGGACAGACATTATGTATATGTAGAAGAGCAAGCAGAAACTCTGCTTGCCTCAATAAAATAGCCTTTGGTTAGCTTAAGTCTCAGGCAAGATTTTCTAAATCCTAAAAAACAGAGCGATGAGGAGGTGCAGGGGTAAAGTTTTCTCTCAGACCACTTGAATTACAATATGCTGAGAGGGTATTATAAAATCTTTGGCAAAAGATGCGAAAAGTACGTTGGCAACTGCAGTTTTAATGTTCATAAAACACATTATTATAGTCTAATAGGCCTGCATGTAACATGGAAAGGGGAGCCAAATCTGAATGGCTTAAATCCCATGTTATCTGACCCGTAGCCCCCCAAAACGGACTGGGTTGTCTTATATCGCAGTTTATGAGATTGAAGGCACTCCAAATAGCCCGTTTTCTTTTCTGATCCCCATTTTAATTGTCTGCTTGAACTATTGGACAGCGTACGGAGTCTCTTCTCAGATATGACTGGACCAAATCATGTGTTTTTGGTAGGAGATTCAAACTTTTGAACGGTAACATATGTGTTGTTGTATTTTGGGTAAACTGACACTTTAAATGTACATGTAGAGACAGTTAGAGAAGCCCTGCTTTGAAAAGATAAAACCTGTACAACCTACATTAACATACTGATAAATGACCTCTATACAAATGAAAAAATACGTCTTTGTCTCCTCTGAGGCCAGAGCGAGGCTAAATCGAGAGTGTTTGAACACACACGTGTGTTTGCACATGTATATACACACTGCTGTCCATCACGCATCATGGTAAGCAGTTCATTATTTCATTAGGATCGTTCTCGTCCTCATCCTCTGTTTGGAGGACTGAAGGCCGCTGGCCTCATCTTCATCTCAGCAAACGCGATGGAAAACTCTTTTCCTTTCCAGGTGGTCCAGATCACACCCTGAGACACACACACAAGAAATCAAATGTTAGTGACTGACAGATGCTCCTGATGTTTTTATTTATATTCTCTGGTGTCAAAAGTGTGTGTGACAAGAAACGACTGAACCTTGCATTAGCTTTGTCCGAAACAAGCCCCCAGGAACATTAAAGGTGAATGATTGGGTTAAATAAATGAATGAATTTATATGGCCTTTTTTTATACTTTGTACCAAACCAAAATATTGAACAATTCACGATCAGCAGATGGAAAATTGGCGCTGAAATCATAAATTCTGTGATTGGTTAATTTTGCTTTAAGTAGGGCTGCAATAATTAGTCAACTAATCAATCAATCCATTGGTAGAAAGATAGATTAAACATTCAAATTCAGAAAAAGCTAATTTTCAGCCTGTTCTTCAACCTAATTGTCCCGCTATTCTCTGTTTAATATCATATTAAACCATAGGGATGGTAATTTGGTACTGTTTTCTACATTTTATAGACCAAAAATGAATCGATTAATCTAGAAAATAATTGTTAGTTACACCCCTAGCTTAGCTCTGTCTGTAGGGACTTGGGAACCAAAGTGTCGCAGGTTCAAATCCCCAAACGAATCAAGTGCAGAGTATGGACTGGTACCAGTTCACCTTATGGGCTGCCAAGCCCTTGAGCAAGGCACCAGCCCCGCAAACTGCTCCCCCGGCACTGTATAATAGCTGCCACCTGATGCAGGATTAAATACAGAGACTACATTTACAGAGACAACAAATGTGTGACTGTGATTAAACTTGATTAAATTTGAATCATCCATGAGCTGTGCCAAAGATTAAATAGAATCAAGATCCTCCTTTTCAGGCAGATTTAATTTGGCTATTTGGTCCCAACAGAAATTGATTTAAAGATTTAACATCAATTTAACCGAACCTAACAGAGGGAATTATACGGACCCAGTAAATGCTGGCCACGTATAATTTTCTTAACTTTGCGCGACCAACACTTTTGATATTATAGCCAGTAAAAGGGTACCTGGTGATTGGTGTCCTTGCCGTAGACCCCGTTGAGGTTGGCCTCGTGGCAGTTCTTGTACCACCAGCCTCCTCGGTAGGACATGGCACAGCGGGTGATGAAGGGCGCCAGGTCCCGGTCTTTGGTGGAGAAGATCCGCTGGCTGTGATAACTGAGAGAGTCCCCTGAGACCGTGAACAGGAGAGAGACAAAGGGGATTAAAGGGGAAACAAAAAACATGAAAGTCTCTGATTCTTCATTCGGATGCTAATTGTCAAGCTCATTTCTTAATTGAACCCTGCTATTTCACCAGGTTGTGTTTTAGAAGTTCAGTGTCAGCTCCTTCAATAAGCCTATAAAGTGTGTAGTAAAATACAGAGAGCCCAAAGAACCCATTCAAACCCAATTAAAACTTATTATGCATTATTTTTCTCTATAACAGGCTTTACATCAAGAGCTGATGGGCAATTTTTGTTTGCATTATAGGGCAAATACTATGCGCTTATTCTGCTTTCCTGCACAAAAAGAAAATCCATCAAAAATAAATGCTGTTGCTAATACTCAACATATTTCAGTCTAAAGAAAGTCCACAAATAATAACATTTTTGTGTTTTTTTTTCACAAGAACTTGGCATGAAGTGATGTCAACAAACTGGCATTTAAACATACAAAAAAAGAATGACGTTTTAGTAGTTATGATTTGGACTGATATTCGTCAAAAATATAACTCAGTGAAAGTGAAAAATAATTACTATATATTATTTATTTATTTATTTTTTGTATTCAGTACTTTAGATTTAGCCAGTCCAACCTGCAGTGCCGCTGTATCCGCCCACGATAAGTTTGTAGTTCCTCTTCACCAGCTCGAAGGTGGAGTATTTGGCGAACGCGGCCTCGTCTTGGTCTCGCAGGTCGACTCTCAGGGTCATCTTGGTCATGGAGGTCAGGTTGTAGAGGTTGTCCAGTCCTAAAGCAGCAGGAGATAGATCTGTTGAGTCTCGAGTAAACATGACTTCCTGTCTGGATTTACTTCAGATGTAGGTTTTTTGTTTGTATGTGAACAAAGCATGCAAGCTTAACTGACTTTATAGTGTTTTTTTGTGTATAAAGAAAAAAAATACACTAAAATTCACACTGTAGATTTTGTTATAGCACCTAAAAGCACCTCGAATTCTTGCAGCTTCACTGTCAATGCTTTGGACTCAAATCCCAATATTCCTCACTTCGTGTTTGTCTCTTGTTGTTCAGAGTCTTGCATCATGATGACGTTTTTTTCTTCTGATAGAGACTTGTTCTTTTGTCACAGAGTCAACACCAGCATTTGGGATGTTCTGTTCAGATCAACTGAGCATATTAAAGTTTGACTCAGTGACAGAGGAACAAATTGAGCACCTCAGGTTTGTTTAAGAAAGCCCGAGAGACCTCGGTACCGGGGCCCTCCCGCAACATCTTGCAGGAAACAGTGTCTGAGGGTATTTTAACATTTAATAAACTATGAATGTTTTATATCCATGTAACGGGAAGAAACTCATCTAACTGATCTTTTTTTTTTTTTTTTCAACAAAAAAACCCACAATGCTAACGCTGAGCCTCTGAATTAGCAACGAGCGAAAAATGCTAACAGATTTACTGCACCGAAACTCACTCATAAAACCTTATTATTTATCCTTTCTGCACATCCAACCCCTCGATCTGATCGTGAGATGACACAGAATCGATGGGTACATACATTATCACTCTATGAGAAGAACTCGCGACTTTATAAACAAAAACAGACATCAAAACATGTTGCGCTAGGTAGCTAAAAACGCTAACATGGCTTGCCTGTGTCGTTGTCTGGTCAAAAGTGGTCTTCAATGGCATTAAAACGATAACAATGCTGCTGAAGTTAATCCATAGGTTAATCCAATATGTCTGTGTCCCTTTGAAATGATTTCTGATAATCCATAAGCAATAAAACTGCTTTTCCGTTTCCAGATGTCAGAGCGAGAGATAGGTTCACTCTGATACAATCCTGCATGCGCAAAGCCCCCACCTTTTCTTTTTACCATGTGTGTGTGTGGGGAAATTCCCCTTCGATTCTATTGGCTCTAACGGTCAGAAAGAGATGTCAATCACCAAAATCGAACAATGGGTTCCAGAGAAACGGTAAAACCCCCATTTCCACCCAAATCACCCCAGAGGTGGAGTTTTTTTGCTAAACCTCTCTAAAAAGGTCAAATGTCACTTGTTTTGCATCAATCTTGATACAGGGTACTTATTATATGTTGTACTTTGGATTCCTGAAGCTTTTAGTCTACCTTACTATCATCCAAGGAATTTTTGGACGGACACTATAATTTACAGTTTTTTACTATGTTCAATCTGAATTTTCTTTAAAATAAAAAACATCTATATTGATTCTGACTTTTCTACATCCAACTCACAGGTTTATCATTACTTTGAGAACAAAGATTATTAATTTAACCCTTTTAGAAGGGAATATATGGTCATTTGTTCTGGGAATGTCATTTTCGAGCCTGAGACCTGAAAAACAGGCTCAGGGCTTAACAGGTTAAGAGTTTTTCCTAATTTTCCACATTAATGGGATGTTTCTCCAGCTTTCATTTTAGATTATTCCTGTTCGGAATTTTAATGTTTAAAAAAATGACTTCAGATTTTTGTTTTGAGGAGAAAATGCTTTTCTTTAAGTCCTTGTATAGATCAAATATTCAGAACCCTCAGACCTGTTTGGATTAATCATGCAGGAAGTTTTCAGTCAACAGATGGCAAAGATTTGGGAAATATTTTGGGTTTCAAAATTATTCTGACACGTGCAACAATTCAAAATTGATGACTCCTATTTGTAAACATTGAATTAAGAGATTGCACGACTTCTTGAGGACCTACAGATGTTATTTGCATACAAAGTCCATGGAAAGAAGTGCGGCACTTACTGATGGAAAGACTTAATTATGTGAGCATCATAATATTTGAAACTGAGTGAAAAATTGCAACAAAACAAAAGATGAGAAAGTCTTCTGACAGAAGAAAAATTCAAGAAAAAGAGTTTAGAGAATCTGACAGAAACACACACTGGTCCTACTGTATGTTGCTAACATTCTGTTTGCAGTATTTGCAATGTAAACTTTAAAACTATTAACTTCAAAATCTCTCTGTTTTGTGTATTCTCAATATTTTCAGTTGAATGGAGTGTCTCTTTCTCACCCAGCCAAAACTCTCCACTCAGACTCCCAAATCCTTTAATGTACTCCTTCCATCCTCTGAAGAAATCCACAGAGCCATCCTTCCTCCTCTGGAACACCTGCACACACACACACACACACACACACACACACACACACACACACACACACACACACACACACACACACACACACACACACACACACACACACACACACACACACACACACACACACACACACACACACACACACACACACACACACACACACACACACACACACACACGCACACACACACACACTGGTCGTACTTTTTACAGTACTACGGCTTCCACAGATGACATTTTTTTATGGAATTTTTGTCAAAGCACTTAAGATATTCATTGCTATCGGGATGTTAAGAGCATTCCATGGAATATAACAAAAATGTATCTCGAGCCGGTTTCTCAAACTTACCTACCCTACCTTTAAGTAAAAGAATGTAAGCATAATTAAAAAAAAATCTTAAGTCATCAAAAGTATAACAAATGTAAAGGCTGTGACACTATTATTAAATATCAATTCATTATTATTACTCATGCATTAATGAAAAAGTAGGATTTTAATGTTGGATTTGGTCGTGTACAGTAGAACAGTGAATCCCATCCAAGGGTACAGGGAACCCTAACCCTAACTTGAGGGGATTGCAGGAGGTAAGTAGAAAGATTAGGGATCGCAATTTATATCAAACTAAAAACATTTTTAAATCAATGTTCAAAATCCTGGTGTCCCGCCCCCAGAACCATCAAAGCTTATGAAAGACAAGCAAGCTCAAGTGTCTCATTAGAAGCTCTAGTCTTAACAACATATGTAGAAACTGCTAGAAGTGAGTCTTAATATTATTAGTTTTTTTAATCTCAATAAGTGTAAATGCCAGGTTTAAATACATTTGTAATGAGGGTGAGTTATACAAGTGCATTTCCTTTAAGGAGCAGTTGGGTTGAAAACGGTTACAAATGGTTTAACACAAGAAAACATGTAGGCCAATCATCACAGGTGAGTGGGGGGGTACTTTAAAACCAGCTCAAGGGGGTCCCAGAGAAAAAATGATGGGAACCACTGGTGTAGTAGATAATTGTAATAATAGTGAATAATAATTAATAATATTTCATTAATACATAAAGCAGCATATCCTCATATTTATGAAAATGGAATTAGGAAATGTTACACATATATAACTAAAAATGATTATATGACCAAACAAAATGCCAATTAATTTCCTCTCAATCTAATTTATTTATTTAACAAATATTTTCAATTATACTTATATAATTAATGGATAACAAAACGTGTCTGCTCATTTTGGCAAGTAACTGAAGCTGTCAGACAATTATTGTTGAGTATTGAAATTACGTAAAATGTAAGGTACACTATTTGTATCTGAGATGTAGTGGATCAGTACTATAACATGGCTTTAACACTGAAGAAAAGTATTAATACCTCAAATTGAAAAGTGAGTCAATGTAATTAGTAATTCCAGTGTATAAATCATTCCAGTTGATAATACATATTTTCTCTCTCACGCAAAGTGCTATTTACTATCCAGCTAACGTTACAGGTCAGTGGAAGAGAACGCCAACGTTTAATCTCTGGCCCTCAAGAGTATTTGTGATTATGGAGTGTGTTATTAAAGAACAGTGTGTCAGTGAGGGCCACGCACCGTCCAGCCGCCTCCGTCCGTCTCCATGTCACAGTACACCATCACTGGGGGCCCAGATCTCCCCTGAGGGAAGATATCCACCTCTCCTGACGTCAGGATGTCATTCAGCAGCTCCTGAGAGCAGTCTGTGGGGAAGGGGAACCTCAGGGTGCCTGAGGAGGAGGAAGAGGAGGAGGAGGAAGAGGAGGGGGAGGAGGAAGAGGAGGAAGAGGAAGAGGAAGGAGGAGGAACACAGGAATTTAGACTTTATCTCTATCAGTTTATAACAGTGGTGACATTAAAATGACCTTAGCTGTACACAAAAGCTGTGTATTTTACTTTTCATTTCATGAAAATTCACAATTCTACTCCACTACACCATACACACCCACACGGTCACTGAGGTCTGCTGACAGACTCCTTCTGGTCGTCCCTAAATCGAGGTTAAAGCAGCGAGGAGACAGAGCCTTTGCTGTTGCAGCTCCAAAGTTATGGAACAAATTACCCCTCCAGGTTAGACTTGCTCCAACTCTGCCTGTTTTTAAATCTCGTTTAAAAACCCACTTCTTTTCCCTGGCATTTACAGGCCAGGTATGACACTTGTGCTTTTACATTTGGGTTTTTATCTTATTAGTGTTTTGTATTGTTTGTACGTCATGTAGGAGAGTTTTTCAGTCTGTGGCTTCTTATCTGGTTTCATTGTCTCATGTTTTACATTTGTTTCATGTCCTGTCTGTTTTTCATGTATTTATGCTATGTGTTTTATATAGTTGTTGATGTACAGCACTTTGTTCAACTCTGTTGTTTTTAAATGTGCTATAGAAATAAAATGGATTGGATTGGATTGGACTACATCTCAAAGAAAAATATTAAAATGTTTACTCAGTTTTATCTTCCTTCCTGTCCAGCAAAAAACAACCAGATGTGTTGATTGAAACTGAAGTATGAGGTGTTTCTTTATGTGATCAGAAATTATACTACTTTTAAAGTAATAATACTAATACAACACTAAATATATATATATTGTTGAATGTAATGTCACATTTTGAATTTGTATTTGTTTATCTTACTTAATGTGTATATGAATATTTCTATTCTATTCTATTTTATCTTATCTTTTAATATTAGTCTTATGTTTTTAACTTTACTTTGATTTATTTTATCTTTTCATTGAACATTCTTGTATGTTTGTATACATATTTGTATTATTTTTGTATGGAGCAACTAAAATGCAACATATACTTATTACAGCAGTAATATTCATCTAAAAACATAAAATATCAGGGTAAAACATGTTGCTGCACATTGACTACTTTTACTGTTCATACTTTAGGTAAATGTTCCTGATAGTATATATTTATTAGTACGTTTACTGCGGTACGATGCAAGTGATTACCGGTGGTGAAGTGGGTGGAGAGGGGGGCGGTGTTCCGCCCTCCGCTCTCCGCCTGGAGCTGCACCGTGTATCTGGACGAGGGGTGGAGTCTGCTCAGGTTGAACTCTGTCACAGAGCCGTCCACGACCACTTCCTGTGAAAAGGAGGAAGCAGGAAGTCAGCAGATGGTTGTACACTGAGTGGGGGGGCCCCCCAACGTTTTTTTTCGAGACTGTGTCTCAGGGCTTCTTAACATTTATGAAACTATTAATGTGTAGCACAGACGTCACAACACGTCACAACACGTACCTTTACGGAGCTTTTACGGGAGATCGTCTCACCGTAGCTGTCAATCTGATCAAAATACGTGTTCAATGGCATTAAAACAAGAAAAAACGCGGCTGAATCGGTTAATCCATAGGTTAATAATGTGTCTGTCGCTTTGAAAATATTATTTATAATCCATAATTCAATTTTTATGTAAAAATCGGAGAAAAAAAGTTAGCTGCTAATGGTAGCCAACAGAGTGTATGCAGCTTCCGGTTTTGGCCACGCGTCACTCTCACTCCTTATTTGGTAACGTGTTTGTGTGTGTAGAACTTTCCCTCAATTCCATTGGCTCTAGCGGTTATAAAGAGATTTCATTCATCAAAATCGACCAAGGGGGTCCAGAGATAGGTCAAATCCACCCAAATGACCCCAGAAGTGTTTTTTTGGTGCTAAATCTCTCTAAAAAGGTCAAATTTCACTTGTTTTGCATCAATCTTGATACAGGGTACTTATTATATGTTGTACTTTGGATTCCTAAAGCTTTTAGTCTACTAATCCATCATCCAAGGGTAGTTTTCACTATAAGTAAAAAATAATCTTTGGACGGACACTATCATTTACAGTTTTTTACTATGTTCAATCTGAATTTTCTTTAAAATAAAAAACATCTATATTGATTCTGACTTTTCTACATCCAACTCACAGGTTTATCATTACTTTGAGAAAAAAGATTATTAGTTTAACCCTTTTAGAAGGGAAGATATGGTCATTTGTTCTGGGAATGTCATTTTCGAGCCTGAGACCTGAAAAACAGGCTCAGGGCTTAACAAAATGCCCTATAATTATTGTATTATATTTCTTATTTTTTCAGATTATTTCTACTTTAGACAGAGATTTTTATTCATAAACTTTTTTTGCTTTTTTTGGTTATGAGTATTGTCTTATCTTTGAATGTATTTGGTATCGTACTGTAGCGTACCGTATCGGACAATAACGAATCGTTCCATATCATACCGCATCGTATTGTATTACTTTTCTCACCTTCACTTCTTGACCCTCAGTCTGATAAGTCAGTCTATAGCTGCCTGCAGGCTTTGTAGGTGGTTTCCATGACAACCGTGCTGTGCGAGGGGTCACGTCTTTGGACTGGAGATCGCCAAACCCGTCTCCATCACCTCCAGAGCCTGGAGAGAGAGTAGAGTAATTTGTGTTATTTCAACTTCCATGTGTGTGTGTGTGTGTGTGTGTGTGTGTGTGTGTGTGTGTGTGTGTGTGTGTGTGTGTGTGTGTGTGTGTGTGTGTGTGTGTGTGTGACCTGAGGTGGTGGTGAAGCTGGTGGAGGCCTCTGAGCTCTCCTTGCTGCCCAGCTGGCTGCTGATGGTGACGGTGTAGGTGGTGGAGCCCTGCAGGCCGCTGAGCTGCTGCTCCGCTGCGTTCCCAGACACCGTGACCCTCAGCTCTGAGTCTGAACACACACCAACAATCACTCATAGGTACTTTAACATGATAATATATATATTTTTACTTTAGGAGTCTCAGTGATGTAAAGTAACCAGAAATCCTTTATTTGTTGCCAGTGGGGACATTTACAGAATTACAGCAGCAAAGGAACAGTACAGATAAAAGGCAAGAGAACAAAGAGTAGACTTTACTAAATACAAATATAAAGAAATAGGCAAAAACAAATAAGTACATCCTGGTAGAAAACAATAAATAAATAAGAAGCTGTATTTAAGTAAATATGTATAATAAATACTAAGTACCAAAGGTGCCGGTAACTATGTATTTTTAACCAAGGACTGTTCTTAAACCCTGAGTTGGGGTCCTTGGGTAGCAGGAACGGGTGGACCGAAGAACGATTTCCCAGCTTCATTATTTATTTATTTTAGGAACTTTTAGTTAACAATTCCCACATTTTTTATAGGGTCCCCAAATGATACCTTTTTCCAGTTTTATAAGACATTGTATTCATTACATTACATTACATTACATGTTACTTGTTAGATGCTTTTATCCAAAGCGACTTGCATACTCAATACTGTGAGCAATCCCCACAGGAGCAATTTGGGGTGAAGTGTCTCAGGGACACAACGACATGCTGACTGCAGTGGGGTTTGAACCTGTGCTCCCCTGATCTGAACACCAATGCCCTACCCACTGCGCTACACGCCTCAATGTACTTAAAGGGGACCTATTATGCAAAATGCACTTTTTGATGTCTTTTATACATAAATATGTGTCCCCGGTGTGTCAGGGAACACACAAAGTGTCAGAAAACAAAACCCTCTCTCTTTTCCTCCGTACCCACATCTCTAAAAAAAAAAAAAACGGGGGTGCAAACGAGCAGATCCAGAATTTTGGCTCCTATTACGTCATTGGCGACATCCGGCACACGTGCCACGTCCCAACCTATCGTCTCCGGCACACGTGAGACGTCCCAACCTATCGTCTCCGGCACACGTGAGACGTCCCAACCTATTGTCTCCGGCACACGTGACACGTCCCAACCTATCGTCTCCGTATTCAGTCGCTAGCTGAATCTCCTCTCGCAGCTGTGTATTCAGCTGTGTATTCAGCAGGATGTCAGCAGGAGGCACTTAGAGTAAAGTTGTTGTATATAATACATATAATGGCACTGTTCTAGCGGTAACCACGTCAAGCTATGTGCTGTATCAGAAACAATGCGCGGCGTGTTTTGGGAGTAATATGCTCTGTGTTTACATTAGCAAGCATGCTAACACTCAGAGCTAACGCTGTAGGCTACTGGAGAGAATATGTGTAACGTAATGTCCTTGTGGTAAACCCTGCGAGAGAGAAAGGTTTGAGCTCCATCCTGTTTCAGAAATAATGCTTGAAGTGGTTGGGAACATAATATGACATTCAATCACCGCAGCGTTTAGCTGAGATATCCCGGTAGAGATCTCTCTAGCAGGGGAAAGCTGCGTGACGCTACAAAGGGGCGTGGCTAGCAGCAGACGTTCTATTTAAAACAGAATCAGCCTTTTTGGAACAGGGCTGCAAAAGAGGGGTATGAGCAGTATGAGGCATGGCTACAATGGGTGATCTGTTTGGTATTTTAAGCAAAAGACTTCACAGACATGTTTTGTATAGTTATGGCCCTACAATATATTTTTCAAATATAGCATAATAGGTCCACTTTAAATGTGCCATGTATTGTTGTACTTTAATATATTTTGATGGGAAGTATTTTTTATCGGTGTAGTTTATATATTGTATATTATATTGGGTAAAATATACCAGATGTTAGTAATGGTGTTACGATATTGTTCATTAGTGTTCTAAGGTTAAGTACAAATTACTTGTAGAGTATCTTTAGCTACTTTTTACTTCTACTGCATTAGTGCAAACTATTTTGTCTTGTTTTTTATTAATGTCCTCGCATCTGAATGTTTCTGAATATATCTGTATATTGAATATTTTGTATATTCTTCCTATTGTACAACTCCATATTGCATATCAAAGAGAATATATTCTTACGAATTTCGGCCATTTAAAAAAAAGAAAAAGATACATTGTAAATATTTATTGATTTGTTAGTATTATCATTTTGTATTACTATTGAGATTTTATTTCTACTTAATATTTCCAAAGTATAATATAAATAAGACTTTTTTTTCTGTTTGATGTTTCTAAAGTATTATATAAGGTATGCAAATCAATTAAAAGAAGCCCGATGTTTGAGCTAAAGTAATAAACTTAAATGCATCAATAATAATAATAATAAAACATGAGAGACAATATTCTGAAATGAAGAATCATCTGCATATAGCATGTATCTGCAAGATGAGGATGTTAATGCTTTTATCACAAGTCGCTTGGATTACCGTAATTCTCTTTTTACTGGCCTGCCTAAAAAACCCTTAGGGAAACTCCAACTAGTCCAAAACCCTGAGAGAACACATTTCCTCTGTGCTGGCATCACTCCACTGGTTACCTGAATCGATTGTAAAATCCTTTTATTAACATACACAGCTTTACATCACCTAGCACCTTCTTACCTCAGCGACTGCTTTTCTTTGTATGTTCCAACAAGAACCCTTAGATCCTCCAGTGCCCTGCTTTCAGAAATTCCAAGGGTATCACACAAGAGATCTGGGGAGGCTGTGTTCTGTTGTTACGGCCCTAAACTATGGAACAGCCTCCCCGTGGATCTTAGAACAGCACACTCCCTTGAAATGTTTAATCTTTTTAATATGGCTTTTAATTTGGGTTAACTTTCAATTGTCACTAGTACCATTGTCCATGTTTTACTGCATTTTGTTTCTGTTTTGCTTTTATTTTACATTTTTTATTTCGTTTTTTAAATTGTTGTATTTTAACATATTATCACTGTAGATGTTTTATCTTGTTCTGTATTCATTTTAATATTATTTTAATATTGTTGTTATGTTTTCTGTAAAGCACTTTGGGCTGCTTTGTGCATGAAAGGTGCTATACAAATAAAGTGTATTATTATTATTATTATTATTATAATGCTTTTCTACTTAATGAATGTTTCATTGAGCCCAGAAACATGAAGTTGAGGTTCTTCTGAGGACACCGCTCACCTGTCCCAGAGCCGTAAACAATGGCGTATTTATCCACAGCAGCCAACGCTGGTCGCCACAGCAACAAGGCCTTGGTGTCGGTGACGTTCACGGCCCGGAGGTCTGTAGGCGGGTCAGGCACTGAGAGAGAGATAAAGGTATGATCATTTATTATATTTGATCTTTAATTGCACCAAAATGCTAAAAACAGAACACTTAAAAGGGAACAACATATAAAAAGAAACTTCTAAATTGCCAAAAAAGCAAATCATAAAGAGAGCAGATGGAGGATTTACACTGCGAGACAGATGGACTTTGGTTTGTCAACAGTTACACATCAGTGTTTTGAAATAACAGAGCTGTGAACACATCCAGGACCCTCCTCTGAGGGAGGAATACTCCGATGGTTTCCAGACCCTGCACCTGCTGCAGACATGTAGACATGTAGAGAGGAACAAGAGGAGCCATTGTGTTCAGCTTTTTGGTCTTTATTTTTTCTTGAGGTAAACGTTTATTAAAAAGAAAATCAGGAATCCTTTGCGTCACAAAAGCAACAACAACTTAAAATTCCTGTTTTAAAGAAATAGGGTCTGGAATGAATCATATAGGGATATTTCCGAAGTTAAGTTATTTGATTAAAATAAACACAGACTGCTCAATATTTATTATATTCCCTCATAGAGCGGTGCATTGACGACATATTTGTTCAAACAAGTCCTGAGGTTAGCATCGCAAGGGCTCCCTTTTTGTATGACAGATAGAAGCTTAGGAAGGGGTATTCACTGACGTATTGATGTCATAGAGAAAGAGCGATAATGTCTTACATTTGTGCCAACCACAGATGTTATTTCAGGCATCTCACCAACGGGGATCCCTAAGGTTGCTTAACATGCTAACTCACTTCCAGGTTATCCTTATTGCATTCAGCACCAGCTCCCCTGAGATCTGAAGGACTTACATGTCATGAAAAAGTCTGTGATGGGGTCGCTCTCGTCCAGCCCGAGGATGGAGACCACGCTGACCTCGTAAGAAGAACCAGGGGAGAGCTGTGATAGGCCGAGGGTGGAGTCGCCTCTGTCTATGGACACTGACACCGGCTCACCTGCAGAGACACACAAAGGAGAGCAGAAATGTGTGTGTTAAGCTGCATCTACTGACAATAATCTGCAAGTCTAAATCACTAATATTGGTTGTATCAGAAATATGCTTTGCCTCCCTGTCATCAATTATTACTCATAACACTACAAAAAATGGGCCAGGCCAATTGTGGTTGAACCAATGAGAGCTGACTCAAGTATGTTAACATTTTGGATTTCTATTAAACAGCAAATAGCAAAGGCTTGATATTATAAATAAATATTATAATACTCATATTCACCCCCACACATTACAATGCAGAATTTAATTGCATAGTTTGTAGAATTTAGAGGGTTGCCTGATTAAAACAGTTGATTTTAAATATTATTACAATAACAGGACTGACATTTCTGTTACTTCTAAAAAATATCTTGTCACAGAAATCAACTAAACAAAAAAGTACAAAAGTACCAAAACAAGTTGGGAGTTGTTGAACAGCTGTTTAAAGCAGGATCAAAAACTAAAATCGGTACTGTAATAAACGCTTTGATACTTTAGTAAGTTGAAAAAGTAGGTTATAATAAACTTTGTAGAAAGTAATTGACAAAGGAAATCCGATATCAAGACATTGAGATATAAATGATGCTAATTTTCAGGATCATATTTGTATATGTTTCTCTTTATTTTTCTCACACTGCCTCTGCTGCAGCACCTCTTTTCACCCTCTGTCTGAAACCAGAGCCCAGTCTGCTCTGATTGGTTAGCTGGCCGAGTGTTACATTGTGGTGTCACTATGTTACGGAAGTAAACAAAGGGGGCGTTTCAGGCAGGGGGGAAGTGTGTGGGAGAGAAACTCTCTCTGGAGGGAACACAGGGATTTTAGACTTTGCAGACCATTGACATGCACTAAAACCTGTAGAACACACAGGAGAGGGACAAGCCATAATAGAGCCTCTTTAACCCTTAGATGCGTACAGTAAGTGGGTCTTTTTTGACCCGGTGAGGTGGTTTTCTTGAAGTATCTTTGTAATTACATTTTTTTATCATTTCATATTCCAGCTATTCCTCAAAAAACATGTTTTGGATATCATGCCATTCAAATTTGAAAATGTAAAATGTTACACATTTTAAGAAATTGTAGTTTTTGTATTACTACCCCAAGCTTCCATAAGTGGGTCAAAAATGACCCGCATGCATTTTCTATGGAATTTCGTTTTTTTTCAAAATGTAAAAACAATGTCTAAAATTATAAATAGTGAGAAATTAAATATAAAATATTTCTAGCGTGAACCAAAATATAATACTATATATTATACAAGTGATTTTGCTTAACCAAAACGACAGAAATGGCATAAAAACACATATTATTCTAATACGGGTCCTTTTTGACCCACTTATGGAAGAGTGTAGGGTCCAGTCACTCGGGCATCTAAGGGTTAATAAATCATGGGTGTCAGTTCTCACCGTCCTTTATGCTGGTGTAGGTGACCTTGAATCCACTGATGGGACTCTTGGGTTTGGTCCAGGACACCGTCAGAGAGTTCTCTGTCACCTCACTGAAGACGAGGTCTTTCGGAGGCTCCGGGCCTGAACGGTATCAAACAAACCATGAGAGAGGTGGAGGAAAGCTAGGGAAGGGAAAGATTGAAGTGAAGCAGAGGAAAAAGTAAAAGAACAAAGTGACGAAATAGGATAAAAAAGAAGGTGAAATAAAAGAAAAGCAAAGTGAAGAAGGTAAAAACAATACTTTGGACAGATAGTGACAGACATGATGACAAAAGACAGTGTGTACAGTATTATTTCTCATCCACCCATTTGCTATTAGTGCTGATGAGTTCAAGTGTATATATGTACAGTGCAAACATATATACAGTATACAGATCATATACCGACAAACAGTCATTAATACAAATGCAGCGGATGGATCCTGGACAGCAGCGAAGGAAAGAATGATATAAATAGTTAGCTGGCCGCTCAAACCTGAAAATAAAAGCGTTGTAGGAGTGAAGGATGTCAAAACAAAGGAAGTAAAGTTTTATAGGATGAATGAAAACAATACGTTTAGATATTAATTCAACACAGTGAGAAGATTTAAAAGCACTGAAAATGATTTTTGGGACGGATTTTCAACCTCACAAGAGTGTGAAGGATTTTTTCAGGTAGAAACTCTGAAAAACCGAACACAGTTTTGCATGCGTCCTAGAATCCCTTCATTTATTGTGCAACCTTTACACATTTGTATTACAAAGACGTTCTAAACTCGTCTTCATAATACCATCTGATCAGGTAAAGGTAAATGTGAATCATACTGTCTTTCTATATCCACATTTGATATGTTCTTTCAATTATTGTTCTTGTAGCTGATGGGATTAATACTGGGATGAAAGACAGAGCAAACGTACAGAGACCAGCCGGTCTTACCCTGGTGAGAGGTGATGGGTGTCAGTGAAGATGGCTGTTAGCTTACCCTGAATAAGAGAAAACCAGAGCAGCAGTGAATGAACTGTTATGGTGTTACTGTTCAACTCTCATTTGATGTCAACTCAGACAAAACACCTTTTGTTCTCAGTGTGCTGCCATTTTTGTGTTTTTTGCCAACAATTCTTTAAATGATTTGTAAAAAGTAGAGTCGGTGGGAAAGTCTTCATATCATTTACTTTACTACACTGTAAAAATAACACATGTTAGAAGTAGTGTAATGTAATTATAATCAGAAAAATGTACTAAATTATTCAAACTAGTATTGAATGCAGGAAAAGTAAAACACTTTTCAAATTAAAAAAAGATATATTAAAAAAGAAAAAGCAGCAAATATACACATTTCTAAAGCTTTTGCATGAAAAGTTATTTAAAAGATAACTGAATTTAGTAGTTTACAATTCATCTTTTCTCAAAAAAATTGAATATTTCAGCTTGACTTATTTTACATCTTATTTTCAAAGTATGTTTCAAATTGTTAACTTGGCTCACTATCACTTAAAAAGTGAAGTAGTGGAACCGGAACCAAATCCTAAAGTAAAGTACCTAAAACTTGTAGTACAGTTTTTGTATTGCATTCCAGAACTGAGTATATTAAGGTTTTGTGAAGTTTAGACAAGCTAAAAACAGGGTAAAGTTTGTTTCTTGCTTTTATTTCTTGTAATGTACAACTAGTAAATTGCTTGATATTTGCATACAATCTGATCAATGTTTAGATGGAAACTAAATGTAGGATTAATTTATTTTCAGCAACAATGTGACTAGAGATCCAGTTATAGAACCTGGTCATTCCCAAGTGAGCTCAAATGAAAAAATGTTTCGTAAGCTGACATTGTGACACACTGTGTCAATGCATATCTGAGGTTTGACATCAAAAGATTGAGTGTTTGTTTATGGAGTGTTGATTATTATAATGTATGACTGCGAACTCATGAATATTTCATATATTCATGAAGCGGATGAATGTGTGCACAAACACAACATTAACACAAAAGATACACTGAACACAAACAACAACAGGTAACATCAAGACCAAACCAGTGAATATAAAGCAATATTTCACCCCCAAAACGATCATTTGGATATCAATTACTCATCGTGATACCTCTTCTTAGTTTTTACTTAAATGTGTTAAGAGTTTTGGATTATTGTTAACAGTGGAGGCACGAACACAGGATAAATATTTGATATGCAAATAACCATATACAGGGGGGAAAATTCCTTTAAGGAACAAATACGTGCCATGAAACCGTAAATCGCAAGCTTACAGTTTTCAAGAGCACCACAGGAAATGAGCTCTTGAAATCAACATGGAGGAAGCACAACATTTCCAGTCATACTTAACACAAGGGACAATGAGTTGACCAATACATTTTTGTTTAAATCAGCCCAAGATGTTTGGCGCAGTAAAGATTTAGGATGGGTGAGCGAAGAGTCTTGAGTTTTAAGGTGAAGAAAATAGTTTTCTGCAGAGGACTTCAACATACACAAAGTTGCTCTACGGTCACAATAGCTTGTACCTGTGCTGATGACAAGCTTGTGCAGTCTGGACAGAAGGCCGGGACCCTTTCCAAGCAAGGTCACCGTGTACTCGGTCTGAGGAGGCAGATCCTCAAACTGGAAGAAGCGAGATGAACCAGGAAGAACTTTTTTGAAGATACTTCCTGTAACAGGCTTGGATCCTGTGCCGCTTTTGTTCTGTGGATCTGGTGTAGAAACACTTTCAGGTATTCTATTTTCATCTTTACTTCTTCCATTTTCTGATTCTGATTTATTAGTTTGTTCATACTTTGCTTCTTCCTCTTTATTGTCAAACTGTTTCTCCGAGTCGTCTTCCGAATCCTTGTTAGTGCTCTTCGGCTTTGGCGCTTCATCCTTACCAACATCTTTACTTGTCACAACAAAGTTTTTGTACTTCTTTTCTGGGGAGTCCCATATGAGCGAAAATCCACTTGAAGTCTGGTTCGTCACTCCCACATAGTCCAGAGGTTCCTTCACGTCTCCAGAAGAAGAACCATCTGATCCCATCGATTGTCTAGGATCAACACTTCGTGTCTGGTCAGGTTGACTGTTGAACAACATTTTCCCTGAATTATTTATTTTGTCCTCTTTCCTTATGCTTCCACTGTTGTAGTGTCTTATCGGGGTGTGATGCTGTGCTATCATTCTGCTTGTTGGTGGCTGTCCCTTTGGCAGTGCGCCTGGTTCTGGGGCTCCAAGTCGTGAATCAGAGGAAGTTTGTGTGATTGTTGGTTTTCCTCCACTTGTATCGCTAATATTTATGCCAGTATTGACTCTCTCTTTATTTGCACCAGTGTCAGAATTTGAATCTGGGGGGCTTGTTTCTTCTTCCCTAAATATGGTTGTTTGGATTGGAGCATGTTCACCCCCTTTTAATTTCTTGATCTGTGTTCTGACGGTTGTGTCATGGCCATCAATGTGTGTACCTTGATTTGACCCTTCAGTATCTTTTTCTCCTAATGGTCTAATTTGACCTCCAACAGTTACACGTCCATTTATCTTCCGGGTTGGGAAAGGCTTAGACATGGAACCTCTATGTGGATTTTGGAGTGGTCTCAGGTTTGTGCGGGTTATGTTTTGGAAACGTCCACCATTCAGTTGTGGCTGACGTAAGTGACCAATTTTGGTGGGTTGGCGATGGGAGGAAGGCAGTCCACTTCTTCTGAGGGTCTGATTGAACTCATGGGAAATACTTGTCAGACCTTTTTGTTCAATGTCCTCTTCAACTGGCCCTGTACCTTCAGCTGGATATGATTCTTTGGAAACAAGAGGTGATGGAGTGGCTGGGAATTTAGTGGAGGACACCTGCTCTCTCCTGGTTTCTGGTGCAGGCTTTAAAGGTCGAGAGGGGGGAGGCAGCCACCTCGAATTCGGACGAGTCCGGTTCTGTAGAGATCCAAAGTTTGGACGTCGCATGTATCCCCCCTTTGGAAGAATACGGCGAAGTGGGATGTGTTGTCTTTCTGTTGGCACCTTTTTCTGGTTTTGTTCGTCTCCATAGGATGCATGTGTATTTGATCCATTTTTGTCTCCACTGGTATCCCTCACTGGTGCAGTTTCCTCAAATGAGGACGGTTCCCCTGAAGGAGATGAAGATGGTGACGATGATATTTCACTTGTTGATTCATGTCTGGTTTCTGTCTCTCTCCTAGGTATGAGGTTCAAATGAAGAAGGGAACGGGGAGGAATTCTCATAATTGGGCGGGTTTTGTTCTGTAGCAATCCAAACTTTGGGTGTCGGCGACGTACATATCCATTTTTTCCAGGGATGCGCTGGAAAAGTGGTACGACACCTTTTCCTGAACGTGATGGCTTTCTGTCTTCAGGGGATGTAACGACAGCAACAATTCTTCTGTAATCAACATCTCGTTCTTTGCTTCCAACTGAACCTGTATCTGAGCTGGAAAGGGAGGACGATGAAGGAGGAAGCGATAATGATGGTCGTGATGAAGATGGTAAAGGTAAGGAAGAGGGTGAAGATGAGATTAACAATGTTAGTGATGATGATGGTGCTGCTGTTGAGGAATATGGAGCTAAAGAGGATCGGGATGATGATGGTGATGATGGCAATGATGACGGTGCAGCTGATGACTGATCTAATGATGATGATGAAGATCGTGATAATGATTTAGAGGTCAAAGAATGTAAAAATGGTGATGAATTTGACGATGATTGTGAGTTTGATGAATGTGATGATGACAACAATGGCTTCAGTCCACTTATAATCTGCTTCCTCACTGTTTCTGCATTGGCAGAGAGGTCTGGTGATTTGGACAGGTGAACAGAAAACGTTGTGATATTCAAACTATCAAAAGTGTCAGTCAGAAGTTTATTTAAAGGATCTTGTGAATAAGCAATGTTTGTCTCTGCAGACTTTCTGTCTGTTTCAGAAGAACTTTGATCTGAAACCGCTGTCTTTCCTTCCAGCATTGTTCCATCCTCTCTAAACCGGCTGCCTTTGCCCCGATGGGGTAATCTAATGTGTGTCACCTTAACTTTGTTCAGACATTTCTTCTCTTGGCTTTGAACAATCCCAGTTGGCTCTGGAGACACTAACGCAGTGTCAGTTCCTTTGCCAGCCATGCCAACATCTGGTTGCTCTTTGGAGCCGACGGCAGCAGTTGGTTCCTCGGAGCTACTTTGTCTGTTTGTATGTGAATTACTCCCAGACATCATAGCTGGATACTTGTCATCCTTCCTCTCAGTGCTTGATGCCTCTACACTCAGCTCTGCCTCTGTCCTTTCTCCAATAGTGGGGACATCTGGTTTAGGTTTTGTGGGTACTATTGGTGCTTTCATCTTCCGACCAACACGTTTTTTTTTCAAAAGATGGTTTCTCCATCCAGGCGCAACTCTGGTTGTGTTGAAACGGAAAGGGCCTGAGACATTTGGCCTGCTGTACAATAATGGTCTGGTGCCATTTATTGCCATCTTCCTTTTGAGCAGAGGTTTAGTTCTTGCAGTCACAGAGGTTGTATAGTCGCTGTTAGGCCCATCAAAAGCTCTGTCTATTAAAGAGTCAGCCTCACTTCCATCCTCTCTGCTCTTCTGTTGGTCAAAGGCTTTAACCCCAGGCAAAGGGTTGACCTCATGGTGACTGTCTCCAACATCTTGTCCAGCTGCTTGTGTAACTCGCATGGTCAAAGCTGCCATGGAAACCCTTGGTAATGTCTTCCCTAAAGATGTAAAGGGAGTTAGCATCTGGATTCAGTGTTAGGGACATAATATGCTGCTGTTCTTAATATTCCAGAAGTCTAATAAAGGAAGAAAAGTAGTTTTAATATGCATTACGATGATTTTATGGAAATCCTATTGCAAGTAATTTGTCAGTTATTATGCAAACATTTCAGGGCAGTGCGATCCATGTTGAACCTGCAAGGAAAACATTGAAATATGAATAATGTTAAGCTTGGACAGATGCATTCGACATGGTGCCTGTGCCACTGTAGAGAGGGAAATATCCTGGAAGAAATCAGAAAAAAGGAGCATTTTACGGATAATGTTCTTCTGAAACTCATTATCTTAGCGGGTGGAGAGTTGAGGCTGCACCTTGCTTCATTAACTTTTACTGTCGCTCCTCCACAGTGTGTTTTCAATCATGTGTTATGTTGAATAACGAGGTGTCTGGACACATAAAGTTTAAATAAGCAGAACCAAGTCTGTTTTCACCTGTTTACATCTGGAAGAGAAACAGTTGACTTGCTCACAATGAGTTCAAGCAAGGTCGAAGTACACAGGAAAGTAGCTGGTTTTGGGGATCTTAAAAAGACATCAAGACCAAGTTTAACACTTTAAATATATGTCTGGTGTTTTTTGACATTGTTCTTATTTTTCATCACATTAGAAAGCCAAAAAAACAACATTTTTTTAGTCTGTGTTTCAATACTTTAAACTTCCTGTATGTGGCTTTAGCCCTTTAGTTCCTCACGCTAATCTTTAAAAACACATCACAAATATAGATTTTCAAAACGGCGCAATAGTTTTCTAAAAGTGCTGTTTACCATGGCTTTTCTTAAAACAATAAGAGAAAAGTATGCATTACTTGTTGGCTATATCCAACAGTGTTATAATCCACTTTTGTTTCCCTAGTGATTACAAGGTTTCAGCGATCTGAAATATTTGATCCTTGGAGTATTACATTAACTTCTTCCTGGAAAGAGGACCTAATCTTATAGTCAAAGCTGTCTTAAATCAAACTTTAAACAAAAGCGTTCAGATCTATTTTTTTTGGTACTCACCCGGGGTAACCTGAGTGGTCGCTGGTTTGCTCCGACTCGTGCCCTTCTCAGCTTCGAGTATGATGTCATACAAACGCCCTGCCTCCAGCTGCTCAATGTGGGCGGAGTCTTGACCAGGTGGGATGGTCAACTCTTGACTCCTTCCTTTTCCGTCGCTGGGCGTGACGGTCAAACGGTACCTGTCAATCTCACCCTGCGAATGCTCCCATTGGACCACTGCAGTAGTGGAGGTTGTTTTGACGACTCTGAGATTAGTAGGACCGGAGATGACTGAAGATGAAGACAAATAAGAATAGAAAGACACATCTTGAGCCTCATTTCATCATAGTGCCTTTAAGTGAATCCATATAGAAAAGCAGGCACACACACATCCACCTGTGCACTATTTAATTTACCCAGCAGACTTGGATCAGAACATTTCCTGCTCTTAACTTTCCTAAACTAACACTAACACCTCTAGAGCTGCCACAGATTACACCTTTCCCAGGAAGGGCAGCGAGAGGGAAATGTTTAAACTCTCTCTGCCAGTTTGGTAATATGAGCCACTCACAGAGACCAATATTTTTGTAAGAATCTCTTTTTGTTTTTCTTTACCAGAAACGTTACTAAACTGTTTGGTTTTACATTTTAAAGCATCACTGTCAACTGCAATACATTCATGATTCCAACATCTGCCCTATTTGATGAATGCGGTTTTTTCACAACACATAATGAAACCAATTTGTTTTGTATTGAGGCTGAAGCCTTAATCTTGTACTGCTTATCAATATCATTTATTTAGAATAATGTCTTTTAATTTCCTTGAGATATGAAGAAGAGTATCTGAAACTGCTCTTTAAGTCATGCTACACTACTTTAATGATCACAGCAATTAAGTAAAATGACAGGATCATTTCAAGACATTATTCAAATAGACTACAAGATAATGATTTGTATCAAAAAGTGTACAAACAACGTATTGCTTATTGATATGTCCATTCCAACCCCTGTTATTTGGATATCCACAGCTTTGCCATCCCTGTTGAAAAGTAATGGGATTTTGATATAATAAAGGACGAATAAATATAGAAAGCTCACGGGTCATGAACTGCGCCGTCCTTTCGGCCCCCCTCCTGCCCTCCATCTCTCCGCTCATGCTGACGGTGTACTCCTGACCGGCTGCCAGGCCCGTCTGGGTGAAGGAGGTCAGGCTGCCCCCCACCTGCACACTGATCTGCTGCTCACTCTCCTTCTGTAAGACAAAAGAAACAAAACACATGACGGTCGGTTTAAATCTGCATGGATCATCCTTTGAGGTCCACTGACTACTAGTAAGACTGATATGTGGTGGTCCAGCACAAAACAAAGCAGGATCAAATACTCTTCATTCTTTTATTCTTTCATCGAATCAGGGCAGGGATGTACAAGGCTCTGACCTCTGATGTCAGGAGCAGACATGGAGGTGACAGAGCAGATATCTGGGCTAACATTGCTAACACTGCTAACTCTGCCGACAGAGCTCAGATTCAAGAGCTAAACGCAACCATATCCGGATGGATATTAGCATTAACCCACATATGAGCACAGTGCAGAGGGGTGGCAATAAACTAGCCAGTTTGGCTACCAAAATAAAACAGAGAGAAGCTTGGATTACAACACACAGGGCCGGCCCTAGACATTTTGGTGCCCTAAGCGAGATTATGATTTGGTGCCCCCCCCCCCCCCCAAGCAATACACGATAGAATATATAAAGAATAAATGAAAAATCTCTACAAAAGACCAATACACTACAAAAACTGAAACTTATTGACATGTTGGTTATATACATCAAGAAGGTTTCAAATGTATTCATTATGGTATGAACATGTTTTAATTGGGGGGTGGACGTCACATCCTCTAGGGGGGTCCGGAAAGATTTGTTTTAACATTTTAAAGTAAAATGTTTCAATCTGCACTTTGAGCAGAATGACTAGAGACTGGATCTAGGGGGTACAACTCTAAAACACCCATATGAAAAAGATCGGTTAACATTTTATTAACCAAATAAGTATGTGAACATAACCAATAACCTACCATAGCCAATAACAAATAAATGTAACGTATTTTATTTTTGTTGTTCATTTATATCTTATTTTACCTAGTTAACATTTATTTATTTATGCATTTTTTTTAATATCTCCAGTTTTAAACTATATTTTTGGTTACTGTCCTATAGTATACATTGGAATGATTTCAAACCTGTTATAAAGGTGTGCTTTGGAAATATTTGTTTACATAAATTGTGACCAAACCATTTGAGACCCACTGAGATAACTGAGACTAAAGTGAACTATCTAACACTCAGAGTCCTTTACCTCACTGAGCTGTTATCAGCCTCAATCCAACAACAATCCGCGGTACCGATGCATGCGCGCCCTCTCTCTTGCTCGCTCGGAGGCTCGCTCGCACTTTGGCTGTGAGCTGCGGGTGCCTGATAAGTCAACATCCCCCACTTTCATCACTTACTGTACAGCGCACATCGTACAGGGCAAATGAAAAATGTTGCCGGTGCAAAGGGTGTTTACTTTATTCAATTATTAATGTAAATGTATTACATCAAGGGCAGAAAATTAGGCAGAATAAAAATTAAATATTAATTAATTGTAATCTTTTTAAATATTTCTTTTTTCTCTCCCAGCGCAGCGCCCCTCCAGATCTGGCACCCTAGGCGACAACCTAGTTTGCCAGTGCCTAGGGCCGGCCCTGACAACACACACAGTGTCAGATACTCTACTCTTTTTTTAAATAGCAAATGGATGATTGCAGCAATATCAATGTTCTTTATGTCGCATATAGAACCTTATATATATCTCCTCAGGGATTCTGAGAGTAGGTCACATCGTTAGCATAGCAAATTATCGAGTTTTAACAGTGAATCTGAGTTTTTAAGTCCTCCGCAAGTGTTAAGTGAACAATTTCTTGTTTCCTCTGTCACTGATGGCTGGTAATTAAATCTTGGAGCAATCTCAGGCAGGGAAACACATCCTCAGTAATAACAATACAAAATCATGTTGTTTTCATCTTCGTTAAGGTGCTGGAAGAGTGGAAACACTGTGCTGACCGCAGGGCGTCATGTGTGTGTGGACAGCCGTTTTGATGTGTTTTTACTTGCGTGAGTTTCCAAAATCTGAATTCACTGGAGCAGATCTGAAACAATCCTGAGGGAAACAAACTTGAAAGTGTTCTTACTGTTGCTTATCGTATTTGATTGAATGTTGACATTATTCAGTGACTGCTGCACCCTGAAGGGACCATGAAGCCAATATAAGATCTGATTTTCTAAAAATAAACCTTTGAAATGCTGCAGAAAGATGTTCTGTGTTTTGATTTACAGTTAAGAGGCTCCTCTGTACAACATCGATAGAACATGCAAAGGATTGTTCAATGAAATGAAAGTCAATTCATTAATTTAAGGACTTTTTTAAATTTTTTATTACAGAATGATGGCCAGTACACTGCAAAAACAGCCCTTCCAAAAACAAGCACAAATATTCTTGAATCAAGTCAGATTTTCCTGTATCAAGCAAAAAAATCTGCCAATGGGGTGAGCCAAATTTGCTTGGCTAGAATTCTTAAAACTAGAATTAAAATCTAGCTACTGAAAGACCGTAATGGGCCTTGAAACTAGACAAAAAAATGTATCCACATTTTGCTTATTACAAGCAATGATTCCTGAATTATTTAAGAAAGAATAACTTAAAATGTAGTGTTTTGGTTGAGTTGACTAAGAATGTATTTCTTAAAGGGGACCTATCATGCAAAATGCACTTTTGTACGTCTTTTATACATGAATATGTGTCCCCGGTGTTCCAGGGAACTCACCAAGTGTCAGAAAACACAACCCTCTCTATTTTCCTCCATACCCAAATCTCTAAAAAAGGGGCTGCAACGGATCTGATAAAAACTGATCCAGATTTGAACACTTCACCGACGTCACAGAAGTGGCGCTACGGCTATTGGGCCAACTCTCCACCTATCAGGGGAATGTGGGGTTGGGCCACGGCCGGCCATTGCCGCTCGAAAGCGCTGGAGACGCTGTAGTACATATGCCAGGCCTGTAAGTGGCGCTGTAGTCTGCCACAAAAGCAGCGAAGAAGACTTCCCGCCCATAGTTACCATGGTTACCCTTCTGTTTATTCTCCGCTGTGGCTTTTTTTCTCCCTCCCTTCTTGCTCCTGCTGCTTTAATTCAATGCAATCCCTCCCCGTCGAGGCAGGCACTGTAATTCTCTCCGGTTAGTCCACCAGCAGATGACAAACACCCACCTCTCCGCCTCTTCCAAGGAACGAGGGGACCGTGCGGCAGAGTTTCAGTTTCAGTTTCTTTCGCCGGTCAAGATGTCCGTTAAAGTTTAAATCTTCCGGACAAAATTAGAAAAGTGCCGGTCAAAGGTCTTCTTTGTTATTTATTGAGCTTTAAAACAAATTAATAACGACTCTATAGGCCTATAATAATATAATAAAACACGGAGAACGGAGATCTTTTTTTGTCCCCCTCTTGACTTGATCAGAGCACGCTCCCCTCTCCTGCAGGGGGGCGTGGTCAGCTGCAGCTCACAGAATCAGCCCCGTAGACAGCAAACAGCACATAGAGCGAAATGAGGCATGGCTAAAATGCATGATCTGTTTGGTATTTTGAAAACAGAAACGTATAAATATACCTTATATAGGTATGGCCCTACAATATATCATTTAAATATAGCATGATAGGTCCACTTTAAATTAAGATTTATAATTAGCAAAGAAAGCTTACAATAAGAATCATTGGCTTTAATTGAAACAATATATTAGTGACTTTGTCTTAAACTTAGAAAGTAAATCTTAAATTAAGTTTAAAAATCAGCAAATAAAGCTTACAATAAGAATTACATTCTTGAATTGGCATAATATATTACATTACATTACGTGTTACTTGTTAACCGCTTTCATCCAAAGCGACTTACATACTCAATACTGTGGACAATCCCCACAGGAGCAATTTTGGGTGAAGTGTCCCAGGGACACAACGACATGCTGACTGCAGTGGGGTTTGAACCTGTGACCCCTTGAGCCGAACACCAACGCACTAGGCCACTGCGCCACACACCTCTATATAATTGCATTTGTCTTAAATTAAGACAGCAGAAACATTCTTATATTTAGACTTTTTTTTTTATTCAAACATGAACACATTTAACAACATTGCGTGGTCATTTTAAACTGTTTTCAATTTTGATCAATGAGTGCCGTGCAATACTTCTAGTATTTTTGGTGTGCGTGTGTTGTACCACACCACAGTTGTCTCAATGGCAATGTGAAAAGTGAATAGACAGCTCGCAACAATGAATAAATATATATGAAATGTTAAATTGGTGTCATTTCATCAGATTGTTAAATTGAGAAGTTGTTCGATGGTTTATTTCTTAAAATAAGAAAAAATTAATCTGTTCCATGCCGGGAATTTATGCAAACCAATGCTGTAATTTGTTACTGGTCTAGCTCAATATAAGATAGCATTTTTTAATAAGAAAAAGTAAGATGTATTTTCTCAAAGTAAGAATACTTTTCTTAAGCAAAACATTCTTAACAAGATAATTTGACTTTTTAGACGAAAAATAAGAATTGTTTCCCAGAAACAAGTTTCTTTTACTTTCTTAAAATTCATTTTTTGCAGTGTAGCAGCTGACTCCAGCTATTTCATTGAGCTTGTTTGTAGAATGTTTTTTTTAACTTGTCGTTTCTTCGTGCAGATTACAACAAAAATATCCATGAATTGGTTGATTAACTTCTATTTCGCTTAGAGCAGGGCTAGCAGTTTTGTCCTGTTTCCTGATTATGCTAAACTAATCTAAGCTAACCAGTTGCTGGATGTAGCTTCCGGTATCATCATAGCTAAGGTAACTCTGCAAGGAAACAAATAAGTATTTAGCAAAAATGCCAAGGGGAGATTATTATGCAAATATATATTATTATTATAATATAAGACTTTCAAACATATTAGTTCTTAAAAATCTGATTAGAAAACTAAATACATGACAGAGAAATTATAAATAATTCTTGCCACTCTGTCATTACAGACTCTATCGTGACTGTGATAAAAACGGTGTTTTCATTTATTCCCAATTTGTCATTCCCGTTAATGCTGCACAACGTTCTTTTTATTATTCCCTTTATTTGTTTGAAAGCCGGAAACTTCCCATCATTTAAAAGCGTACTCACCAGTTTCTAAACTGTG